TTTTTAAAAAACTGAAAAAAAAAAAAATTTTTTTTTTTTGAAGTTTCAAAAAATCACTGTGGCCAAAGTTTTGATTTTTTTTTCAAAAAAATTTGTGAGAGTGGTCCTTGGGTGGTACACTACCAGATAAAAAATTGGGGGCCGGATCTGAGCAAGTACGTTTTGGACCATGATGGTTTGACGTGGAACGCCCCGCCTGTCTCTCTCGCGCGCCCACGGCAACTTCATGAGTGCGAGAGAGAGAGAGAGCATGCAGCGGAATCGCTGGACAAACGCCGCAAGACCGGCACGTCCTCTTTCCGTCGCTGTGTTTGGGAGTGTCGCCTGGGACGTCATTTTCCCATTTCCAGCGCCGTCCCTTCGCCCCTTGGCTTCCTTGCTGCCTTGCCCGCCGCGTGCCTCACCGCGCCGCCTCGTCACGAAGGCGGCCAGGCCGGCCAGGCGATGCGCCGGATGCACCGCCGCCTCCCCCTCCCCGACGCCGCGCCACGCCGCCGCGCCGCGGGCCTAGAACAGGTACTACTCGCAGGCCGCGCGGGGTGGAAGGGAAGGAAGGTCAAGGACTCGCGGCCGCTCTCTCCAGCGGCGCGGCGGTGGTGATGTAAGGCGTGATGTAGGCTAGGCGGACTGGGGACTGGGTCGGCCGACCGGCTCCGCGGAGCAAGGCAAGGCGAGCCAAGGCGAGCCAAGACGAGCCCCGGGCTGCCCCTGGCTGCCGCGGGCCCTTCCAGCTCCAGCCCGGCCGGCCGGCCCGGCGACACGTGCCCGGCGGCAGTGTCGTCGCTCTGTCTCACTCGCACTCAAGGCGAGCCCCGGTGGGGTGCGACAGAGACAGACAGTCCGTCGTGCAGCCCTACTGCCGCGCGTGCTCGCGCAGGGACTCGGTGGAGCACGGCCCGCACGCAGTGCTGCCCGCTGCACCCGTCCCGGCCGTCCCGCGCGGCGACCGTAGCGGCCACAGCGGCGGTTAGGTAACGCTGAGCGTATGCAAAAGGCACGCACGGACGTGACAAACGGACTGTCCGGCCGCGTCCGGCCGTCATGCGCGCCGCCACACTGTCACGCTGTCACACGGCGGGCGTCCGGGATGGTCCGGGAGACCCCCCTGCAGGAGGCCCTTACGTAAAGCCCCTGGCGGGTGGGCAACACGTCCAACGGTGGACAGTTTGCAGTGTACTAGAGCGCTCAGGCATGGCAGTGGCCGTTTCAAGTACCCTGGGTTCAGGAGAAGCGCGTCGCGTCCGCCCCACTGGAGGCTCCAGCTCGGCGGGCTGGAGTGGCTGACAGCCGGGCTGACAGTGGAGGCGCGGCCGGCGCGGCTCCCGTCCCGGTTCGGGATCGCCGCGGTGCATCCGCTTCGATGAGTCCGGTGCTCGGTGCGGCAGTGTGGCAGTGCGGTGAGGCATCGGGAATCATCCAGGCCTCGCGGCCCGGCCTGGAGAGAGGGGGGCGGCACCGGAAGAAAGTAATCAAGATCAAGTGCAAAGTGCATCTGTATCTGATGGCCGCCGCACCGCCACACTCTCACCGCGCCACGTCTCGTTGCGCACGCCGGCCGCCGGCTCCAGTGGCTCCCCTCCCACACGGACTCCGGCCCCGACACTGCGGAGCCACTCGCCGTCAAGTCCGCCCCTCCACTGTGATTCGAGCAGCCAGCAGCGCAGCACTGGCGTTGGCGTCGTTTCCCCGGTCGTTATTCTGACGCCGCGTCGAGGTTCGAGGTTTGGGGTTCGGAGTTCGGCCCGGGGTTCGGGGAGATTCATCTCGGCGCGCTCATTGTGCCGTCCGTCAATTTGGAGGCCGTAATAGCAGTCCCGTGGAGAAAGGGGGAGGGGGCACCTCGCTTCACGCGTAATTGTAGACGACTTTTATCCTTGTTTGGGCCGCGGGCCCTCCGTCCCGTCCGCCCAGGGGCCCTTCCCTGCCCGTCGTCCCGGTCGGCGGCCTACGCGGCGGGGTACGCGGCGGGGCCCGCGGGACTCACGTAGGGCAGGGCCGGCAGGGGAGGGACGGGGTGGAGGGGGGCCGCGGGGCCCTGGCGCGGCTTTTGATTAGTTCCAAGCCTCCTCCTCCCCCCCCCCTTCCCCGTGGCCAGTTAGTTTGTTGTTGCGATGGTCCGCGTAATCAAACGCGTCCCCCGTTTGCGTCTACTTCTGCGCGTGTCCAAGTCGGACTAGAGCGTCATGTCCTGCGCGGCGAGCGAGCGGAGCCATCGGCGCAGTCGGTGCGGCGCGGTGCGGCGCGGTGCGCAGGCACGATTTAATGACCAGCAACTTTATCCCCCGCCCCCTCGCCGCGCTCCCCCACGGCGCGGCCCCGCAGCCCAGCAGTCCCAGCACGCTCGGGCGCGCCGTGCCGCCGTGCCGCCGCGCCGCCGCGTCACGGCCGTGACGTGGGAAGAACAAAAACTCATCGGGCGAGTCGTGGTGGAAAGGGGGAGTGAGGAGCCGGGAGCGGCGGCGGCGCATTTTTGTTCATTTTGGGTCCCCGGCTCCGCGCCGCTCCGAGCCGCTCCGAGCGGCCGGACTGTTTCGTCTATTTTGGCGCGTCTGCCACGGCTTCTGCTTCCTCCTCCTGCATGGCGTGATTCGCGCTCCTCGCTCCTCGCTCCGCGGCCCGAGCCAGCCGAGCCGAGCACGCCGCGGCGTCGTTCGTTCACCCGTTTCGTTTCCGCGAGAGGATCAAAACAAGCCGGTACTACGCGGTACGCGGCGGCGAGGTTCCTTGGCCGGCCGCCACGCGCAGGTAGGCGGCGCTGCGGAGCGCGGACAAGAGCGCGGAGCCAGGAGGAGCGGTCAGCAAGTCCGCACCACACCGCCGAAACGTGGCGCGCGGAACTTTGAACTAGAGTACTCTGAGATTGGTGGCGGAGCGCCGAGCCAACACAGCACAGCGCCGTGTCCATGGAGAGCCAGCACAACGAGGGGGCAGTGGGCGAGTCCGAACGCAGCGGTCGCCTTCTCGCTCACTCATGCGGCGCGCCGTGGGGTTGCGAGGGAGAGAGAGAGAGAGAGAGAGAGAGAGAGAGAGAGAGAGAGAGAGAGAGAGAGAGAGAGAGAGAGAGAGAGAGAGAGAGAGAGAGAGAGAGAGAGAGAGAGAGAGAGAGAGAGAGAGGGACAGCGTCGTCACGCCGTCCGGAATCTCTCTGGGCTCTTGGCTTGATGAGGCCTGTTCATCAAGGGCCACTCCGCCACTCCGATCGGCCGTTGCCGTCCACACCGTCAGGGCCCTGTGCTTGGCGGAGGCTTTGACAGGGTGCGCCCGGGTCAGCCCGGCATTGGCTAACGAACACGGGGCCGGCAGCGCCCAGGCAGCGCCCAGCCGCAAAGCCACGAAGCCTCAAGCCGGCAGCCTCCAAGGCAGCCGGCCGCGACCCGCCCGGCCACCTAGCGTCCTGCGTTGGGGACTCAAGGGCTGGAGACACGCTCAGCACTAGCAGTGGCACTGCCTGCCGAAATGGCAATGCGAGGCACACTACACAACCAAAATAGTTGCGTCTGCTTTTCTTCTCGAGCCCAATTGTGCCCCTTCCATTGAAAAGGCTCCGCCCGGCCGGCCGCTTCGTGCGTCGGCAAGTCGGCAACGCAGAATGTTGACTCACTCGCCGGGCCTAGACGAGGCGCGGCGGGGCGGGGTGGGGCGGGGCGCTCCTAGAAAGAGAGGGGGCAGAGCAGCGTGGCCTTGAGAAGTGACTGTGGTCCACGCGGCGCGGCGTTAGCGTGCGCTAGCGCTGTGGCTGTGCCGTGGCCGGGCGTAGCAGCACACCTGTCCGCGCCGAGCCGCACCGCGCCGTCGGTCCGAGCCGTCCGAACAGAGTGCGACGCTACAATGAACGGACTTTTATAGTGACTTGCCCTGTACTGTTTTCGGCTCTTTTTATTTTCCGGGGAGAGGGGCATGGACTTACGGGCGTCCGGCTCCACCACAACTAGTGACTCGGCGGGGAGCGCTGAGTGGCGAGTGGCTCGCAGCAGCAGGAAGTTGGTAGTGCTGGCTCGCTGGCTGGGGTAGGCCGAGGGATGGGGAATGGAGCGGAATGGAATGGACCGGGCGCCGTCAGGACCACGCCCCGCTGCCGCGCCCCTCGCGCCCCTCGCGCCCCTCGCGCCCCTCGGTGGTGGAGGAGAAGGCCATGTTCCTCGCAGTCTGCTGCGAGCCTCGCGGGGGCGGGTGCCCGGCTGGCTGCCTGCCTGGCTGGCTGCCTCCACCCTGGAAGGGATAGCCGGCGCTGCGGTGGCGCCGGGCTGGCCGCCGCACACCCCCGCCCCACGCCACTGGGGCCGCGTGGGGCCGCTGGGGCAGGGGGCGGGGGTTAATGCGGAAGCGGGAGTAGAATCGCAATCTCGCTGTCTTCGGAAGGCGGATCTTGAGGCCGGCGTGGGCCCAGGGCCGAGGCATGGCGACGTGGCGCGCCCTGGTCCTGAGGCCGCGCGGGACGTCGGGGTGGCCGTCGGGGTGGTCGTCAGGGCGAAGGGGGCGGAAGAGATGGCGGCCCAACCGCCCTTCTTTATTTGCTGCTCGTCTCCACTGCGGCGGGGTGGTGGTGGTGGCGGCGGCGGGGACGCTGACTGGGCACGCCCCCGAGGCCCCCGGGGCCCCCAAGGACGCGGGGTGGGGGTGGCGCCAAGGCCCGCCGCGTGCCGCCAAGGTCACGCGGCCCGGCGGCCCGCGGCCCGGGCGGGGCTGGTGGCCTACTGCTGGCGCCCCGCCCTCCCCAATTACCCACTTGATTCATGTTCCCGGCCGTTCCCTCGCCCCTTTTATTATTTCCCATTTTTATTTCCGTGCAATCTCTTGTTCCGGCGCCGTCGTCAGCGCGCTTTGTGTTTTGTGACCCGGACTGGACTGGGGATATGAACCATGTTCGGTGGTCCTCAAACCACGTCGTGGCCACTCGGGATCTAACGGACCCTTGAAAAGGAGAAGCGATGTGGTTCCTGGACCGCCCCGTTGGACGCGTTGGACGCCTCGACTAACGTGCCTGTCTTTGTGTGTTGCAGCGGTGCGGGCGGACCGGATGCGCGGCGGCAGGAACAAGTTCGGCCCCATGTACAAGCGGGACCGGGCGAGGAAGCTGCAGATGATGCGACAGCGGCAGATCGCGGTGCAGACCATCCGCGGCCACAGCGGCCACAGCGCGCACAGCGGCCACAGCAACCTCAGCCAGAGCGGCCAGAGCAGCCAGGGGCTGTCCGAGCTGCCCTACCCGAGCCAGTCGGCGGCGCAGTCCTTCGCGTCGCTGCACATCAAGCAGGAGATCCAGATCCCCCAAGTGTCGTCCCTCACCTCGTCGCCCGACTCGTCGCCCAGCCCCATCGCCGTGGCGCTGGGCCAGGCGTCGGCCTCGGCGTCCGGCGGCGTCTCGGGCCCTCCCGGCCTGCAGCTCGCCGCCCCCACCACCGCCCCCTCCTCCACCCCCGCCTCCACGGCCACCAACCTGGCGGCCAACTCGGACCACAAGTTGTGGGGCGGGAGCACGGGGGGCGGCACGGGCGGAGGCGGTGGCGGAGGCGGCGGCGGCGGCGGCACGCCCTCAAGAGACCTGCTGGACGGGCTTATGGGCTCCACGTCGCCGACCACCAGCAAGATGACGCCCATGATGAGGGACCTGGTGCAGTCGGTGGATGACCGGGAGTGGCAGAACTCACTGTTCGGGCTGCTGCAGAACCAGACGTACAACCAGTGCGAGGTGGACTTATTTGAACTCATGTGCAAAGTGTTGGACCAGAACCTCTTCTCGCAAGTAGACTGGGCGAGAAATTCGTGCTTCTTCAAGGACCTCAAGGTATGCACCACAGTGTTGTGTTCCTCCGAGTGCGCCAAGTTCTCCGAGTCAAGCTGTGCGAGTAACGTCAAGTGAAGTGGGGGCAGGGGGCTGCTGGGGGCTGCGGCTGCGGCCACGCCAAGCCGCGCGGCTTGGCTTCGCAGGGTTGCAAAATAAAGCGTCATCCCGTCAGAGTGACATGGCTCTCTTTTCCTTGTGTCTCTATTTTTTGTAGGGTACTTGCCAGGTAAGTGGTAAGTCCATGCGAACGAAGCGGGCGGCTGCGCGCGGAGCGGCGAGTCCGCATTGTACATACAAACCTGTCGCAACGCTGGTGGGGCGGGGCGGGGCGCAGTGGAGCGAAGCGCCTGCCGAACGCGGGGTGTGTACGCGCGCGTGGCAAGCGTGTTGCCTGCCTCCAGGCGTCAAAGGAGGATGGACTGTGGCAGGCGGTCCCGGAGGGCAGGCCTGGAGGCTCAGGACATTGTTCTGAGAAAACCACTACACTGGGCCACGCTCTGTCATTCTCGTGCGAGAGAGCCAGAGCGACGAAAGCGACTCTCGGAATCAGTGTGCTGGGCCCAGCTCGGCCAAGCTCCGCCCTACATTTGCATTTCCACCGGACAGTGGGCGGCTGCTCCTCGCCACGCCGCGTCGCGCTATCGATTCACTGTGGAACAGTGTGGGACACTCTGGGACACTGTGGGGCACTGTGGTCGTGTCCCCCGCGCCTCAGACGCGACGCGACACGGCCGGATTCGCGCCACGCTGCTCCGCTGCCTCGCTGCTCCGCGCGGGGAAGAGAGGCAAGGGAAGGAAACCGCGAGGGGAGGGGGACGGGGAACGCGGCCTAGGTCTAGGACGCCGCGGACGCCGCGGACGGAGAGCGAAAGTGCCCCCTCCCTCGCCATGGGGCCATGGGGCCCAGAGAACGCGTTGCGGCACGGTCCGCGGAGGGAGGGGAGGGGAGGGGGCAGCAGCGAATATTACTCGGCATTGCCTCACCGCCTCCTCCCCTCCTCCGCGACCTCCTTTCCACCTGCCCTGCCCGGCCTGCCCGGCCTGCCTCCGCGGTGTTGCCTTGGCGCGCCTTGCTTGCCTTGCCTGCCTCGCCGCGCGACCCGTTTTCCTCCTGAGTACTACGCGAGTCGTTGTTCCATTATTTGTCACTGCCTCGACTTTGTCGGCCTCGATTTTCCGATTACTCGATTGGGCGACGGTGCGGAGTCCAAGGCGCTCGGATTCCGGGCAGGGCTTTCCTCAAGGGCTCGGTCTGACGCGCGCTTCAAGATTGGCGCGGCTGGGACGGGCCTGGTTCACGCTCGACCTCTCTCACACTCATGGGGCATCACGGAAAGAGAGCGACGAATCAGACTGCTGGCCTGGCGCCGCCCCTCCCCCTCCCTCTAGGGTTGCCTGGGGCTTGCCTAGGCCGTTTTCTAGGGCGCAGGGCCGCGCAGGGCCGCGCCGGGCAGGCGAGGGCCGGGCCTGCGGGCTGTGCTGGCCGTCCCTGCGGGGGGGCGTGTGACCTTGGGGGCGGGGGGCGGTGTGGGTGGGGCCGAGGCGGGGGGTGGCACACTGTGGCACACGCAGGGCGGGGCGCCGGGGGCGGGGCGCTAGGGGGCGGTTGCCAAGGTCGCAGCGGGCCTCCCCCAATGCCCCTGCTCTGCCGCTCTGCCCGCCTTCCGCGCTGTGACGGTCGTTTCAACGAGAGCGAAAGTGCTGCCTCGCCTCGCCCCCACCCCCTGCGCGTCCAGCGAGGGGCCCTTGGGGTGGCCGCGGTGGGGTGGGTGCGATTCCGGTGGGGGAGGCGGACAAACAACGTGGCGCCATGGTGCTGCGCCACGCCTCGCTGCGCCACGCCGCGCCACGCCGCGCCACGCGCATCGCATCGGACGGCCCACGCCAGCGCCGCCAGCACCGCCAGGACCAAAGTGGGTCACGGCCGGGCGTAACATCGTAACACCGCGCAATGGAGGCGCGCTGCGCTACGCTGCGCTGCAGTCGGTTCGGCCCGGTTCGGCCCGAAAGCCTGCCAGGAGGGGGAGGGGCCAGCTTGGCCCGCGGGGAGAACGCCAGCGTCGCGCACGGCTACTCGAAATGTGCGCATTGGAGGGCACGGAGGGTCGAAAGAAATGTACTCATGTCCAATGCTATGTCACTTTGACAGGGATGACGTTATATGTATAGTTGCTAAGAGAAAAATTTGACTTAATTTTACTTTCCACGCGCTCCTTCTGCTTCTTAATGTGACATGGTGCAAGCAGGCAAGTTCATTTTGGAATTCTCTTATCGCAGGTGGACGATCAGATGAAGCTCCTCCAATACTCGTGGTCGGATATGCTGGTACTAGATCATCTACACCAACGGCTTCACAACCAGCTGCCAGATGAGACGACGCTCCCCAACGGACAAAAGTTCGACCTGCTGTGCCTAGGCCTGTTGGGTGTCGCATCCCTCGCCGACCAGTTCGGAGCGTTGGCCCATCAGTTCGCACTCCTCAAATTCGATGTCTCGGATTACATCTGTCTCAAGTTCCTGCTGCTGCTCAATCCTGGTACTGGACATGTCGACTCTTTCGTCTGCGTCTGTGTCTGCATCTGGGCAGTCTGAGCCCGACCCAATTTGTATTGGTGTTGCATGTGGTTCATGTCCTCTTGGATTCATTAGATACGCAGCATCATGGAAAATTAAAACAGCAATATTCCTTTTTTACATTCCAATTCATATGATTTCTTATTGTGTCGTAACAGATGTCAGGGGAATAATGAATCGAAAGCACGTGCAGGAAGGCCACAACCAGGTGAAAACTGCACTGCACGACTACACTTCCCTGAATTATCCACAAATCCAGGTCTGTATTGGTGACACTAGTTTTTCAAACTATGTGCTGCACATTTATATCATGTTAAAATTTAGGATTTACTCTGTAGATTTTGTTTGTGTTTGAGGGGAAAATAGCTATTGATTTTTAGTTAGACCTACTTTTTTTAGTCAGAAACTTTTGAGGTTCAAAATCTCTGCCATTGCTGACTAGATTTCATGGCGTTCCATGAATGATGCTTACCATACTTACACTGGTGAGATAAACTGCATTTTGAAACTTTTTTCAATTACTTTCTTCACTCATTTTCATTTATCTCTGGTCATCCATTTATCATATCATTCATTCTGCAAGAACAAGTATTAGATTTTAGAGACCCCCTCCTCTGCATCTTGACTCCTGCAAAAATAAATTAGTTTGACTAACAAATTCTTGTTGAGCTTTTAAAATTAGTGTGACCATAAATTTAGTCTGGAGTGCTCTTACAGTATTATACCCTATGTTGTCTCCTAGGAGACAAATACATTTCAATTCCTTTCCCAGCATAAACCATTAGTTTCTCCAATAACTCAGTCAGCTTTGGCATATTGCATTTTCACACAGCCAAAACAATAGTATTATTTCAGAAGAATATTGTTCACATTATTAGAACTGTTTGTGAGCTATTAAATATGCTGGACTATGGATAGTTTTATTATGCAATATTAATGAAGTTGAACATGTGTCTCAATTCATCAAAGTAAATTTCCAAGCATTTGACTGTATCCAAACCGAACTTATCTTAAGAGTGTGCATTATCCATAATTCTTTGTACTTCATAAAAATGTAGTATAATGACTTGAAAAACATGTCCAACTGTCTACACAAGTATTGAGATCGATTTCTGTGTACAGAATCCAATTTAACTTATGAGTGTTTACAGTTTGGTCTGTTCTGAAATGCTACAAATCTAATGTGATTGGGAGTAATTGCTTGTGCTTCTGTGGTATGTTGTGCTTGGCTGTGTTTGCAGGTTCGCACGTGTGTCCAGTCTCGCACTGAGACCCTGCGTACTGCTTACCTGCCGTTGCCGCTCTCCCTCTTGGGAGATATCGTTCTCCAGGGAGTGTCCATGCACATCATCTCCTCTATCATTTTTTTTAAACTTGGAATTTTTTCCCTTCCACACACAAATTTTCATTTCCTCTTCCCCTCTTCTAATTCATATTTAAGCACCTCATACCAGGAAAATATCCTATCTTTTTTAATTAGATGCAAAAGCCAGTATGTAGAGACAGACTTTTTGGTTTGATCCTTTTTTTTTCCTTTTGAAGGGCGGGTAAAATAGTACCTTACACTTCAGTGTCTGTATCTATTCTTCTATCTTTGATTCATTGAGCTCTTGTTGAGGTAAAGTTTCAAAATGAATATTTTAAGATGTGCAAGGTGCCTTGAATTTTTTTTTTTTCTCTTAAAAAATAATGCCGTCTTGGAAGATTCGCATAAACTGTGAGTATTGAATGTTAAAATAACATTTGGCTTCTTCGCTACAAAGATCTCTGCTGGAAAGGTTCTTGTTCTTACTTGGGTATGGTCTTTGACCATCTAGGAGCTGGTCAAAATGAAGCTGGTTCAGGCCGCAGAGCTTTTACATTTTGAATATGTACTCAATTGAAGGCATTGAGAAACTAGTGGCTTTTCCTTCCTTTTGTTTTACTTACCTAAGCCTCTATGGTAAAGAAACATTTTTGAGGCAACAAAAAAAAGTGTCATTTGATGAGCTCATGGTTAATTAATTTTTTCTCTAGGGTAGTGGATTGATTTTGTTTTATGTGTGTGTGCAGGATAAATTCAACAGACTGCTCATGCTCCTGCCCGATATTCATGAGATGGCTGCCCGAGGAGAAGATCACCTCTATCAAAAGCACTGTTCAGGAGGAGCACCTACTCAAACTCTATTGATGGAAATGCTGCATGCAAAGCGCAAGTAGCACCAAATGTTACCATTTGCCCACCCAGCGTGAGAAGAGAGTGCACTGCCATGGTAAGGCCTTGATGTGCACCAAAAATTGAGGTTGAACTTTTACCAGTCTCCCAATATCTTTCCTAATATTGTTTCTGGTTTGTTTTTGTCTTTTGTTTGATAGAGTCGTAGTGGCATGAGCTTGTGAGGGCTGGGCCCTCCAATCCTGCCACACTTCTCAACCCCAACACCAAGGAGAGAGGAGCATATTGACCGTGTCACCAACACCGAAGTCGACTACTTTCCACCCCGTCAAGAAGTGTCAAGAAGTCATCAATTTGAAGAAAAAAACCACCACACATTCAGGATGGTCTAGCAATATCTTGGGAATGTTTTTATTGTTTTATTTTTATAAATGAAGTGATCTCCGATCCATGGTGTATGGCATGTGCTGTCTTCGTGTAAACATCACGTATGCGTCCTTGAAACAGTTTTGGACGTTGCCAATGTACCTAACACAGTGCGGCTCCTGGCCCACGCATGTTTGTTACCTCTGTACAGCTTATCATAGTGCATAATATAAATAAATTAGTATATTATTCTATTTTGTAAAAAGATATCTATACATTATCCTTGCACTTACTGTGAAATATTGTAAAATTATTAAGGCATGTTTTCTGTTGTGTTTTTTTTTTCTTTTCTTCCCAAAGGAACAAGTTATTAAGCTATTTAAGAAAAGCTATGGATTATGTGCAATATGTTTAAAATAGATTGGTATGACGTCCTATTTGTTAAGTGGAGTTGACAACACAGAAAAATTTCTATTTATTGGTTTGTTTTTGTTGCTGAAGCTGTTATTACCTTCATTAGTCAGTTGGTTGTGTCCATGTCTTGTGAAATACCTCTGTAAAAATCATGTTGAAATTTAAGAAGAGTGACCAATATTTTTGTTGATAGAGGATTGAATACTGGTTTAAGTTACTCAATAATATATATTTGTTTTATTTTTTTATGAATATAAATCGAATACCTTCTAGATCCTGTAATTCTTTATATTGAGAGAACTAGTTGCCTTCAAAAAAGTACAAAACTGGAAAGAGATGGTAGGCGTTACTACCTCAGGACGGTTCACTTCTTCACTTCATGTTATTATTGTTAATTAATTTTGGCACATTTTGTGTTGTACCTACACATTCCGGCGACCGTCCCGCACACTTATGGTGTACAATTTGATGTACAGTCTGTACATACTGTATGCCCTGTGTGTACCTCACATTGTGTAATTTTAGGGGTGCTTGATGCTTGTTTACCAAACATTTTCAGGACACTCCTATTCATAATAGTTAATTTAATTTTTTAATATTGTCTTGTATGTAGCTGCATTTTTTGCTTTTCTCATGCTTCCTTTATAGTCTTCAAAATTCAGTCATTCAGAAATTTTATTTATTTTTTCTTTTTTACATTCCATTCTTTTGCTTGATTTTGGCTTTTTCTATCATTTCCCTCAAGAGTTGCTGCCGTGTGCCGGTGCGGGTGCGGGAATCTTCCTTGACTAATGTATCTGAAACATATATGAAGAGCTAACTTGTCTATTTTTGTTATTGTAGTTAACTTCTTATAGAACAAAATTGGGCATGGTGATGGAATTAAATACTAAAAGATGTATAGTTTTGTAGAGCAACACAAGAGTGTTGGAGCTACATTGTTTATCCCTGCAATGTACTATAGCGTAGAGGTGTTGTGTATACACATCACAAAAGGAGAGCAGGAGGGATCAAACTTTTGCTTGTGGTGTGCTTACATGTGTTACCAGCCGGTTGGGCGTTGTGATAGTCCCAGAACCCACACTGTACATATTGTATTCATTGTGTTTCTTCCACATTATGACCAGGACATGACTATGATGTGTTGATGCAGACTCAGCATCTCAGCTTGAGTGACTTGAAGTACAACTGATATTATTGGCTATATAAGTTTTTTCCTCACATATTGAGCACTGGTTAAGTCAAATCACCGTTATAACTTCCATAAACATTGCGCAATGGCTGATTTCTTGCAAATTTTTCCCCCTTTGTCCATAATTTGTGAGACGGCCTCTTTTATGGTTTACAGTAATGATGTCACTACTGCCACTTTTGAAAGTTTCTCTTTTGGAGTTTTTGGAGTGTTTTGACCTGATGGACCAGATTGGCCTTATGAGCATGGAGTTGAGGCTGTTGTATTTTTTTGTTGATTTTTTTTTTGTAGTATTTTTGAAATGTTGTGATGTGTGAAGTGGAGGATAGGTAGGGGTGCTACTCCTACTCTCAATGCTCAAGAATGTAGCTTAGCGGGAAAACTGAGATTTGTATTATTAGGTTTGAGTTTTGTACTGAGGGCATAGACCCTTGCGCACACAAGGAACCAGTACAAATGAGCGCTGTGAAGGACCCAGGAATGGATCACATGTTTTGCCTAAGAAGCTCCAACGAATTACGATTGTAGTTTTATGTAAAATTGATGAAACTAATTTTCTTTTTATTCACTTGTAGCTGTTCTTGTTTCAAAGAGGCTGTACTACTGTTACAATTTCGTTTTGAAGGCTATTTAATAATGTATAGAAAGCAAATGTGTGGATGTAGTTTTTATGTGGTGGCTGTAGTACTACTAGTCTCATGGCTGCTAGTACTACAGACTCTATGCTCTTAATGGTACTAAAGTTTACTTAAATTTCATTGTGTTCACTGCCAAACCCAAGTGTATGATTAGGCTGTTATATAGAGATGTAAAGTTCGAATGAACCGTTTGCCGGATTAACGACTCATTCATTATGTCTATTTTCCAGTGACTCTTAAAATAGCTTTGTATAAATCATAGAAGAAATATATTTGTTGTTGGCACTCAGAGCCACTATTTTGTAAAAAAAGATTATTGAAAAGCTAATGTTAGATTATGAAATTATAAAGAAAGGTGTATAAAATACTATTTTCCTCATTTATTGAAAATTATGAATGGATAATTTTGTCACGTAAAAGCGTATTTCAAGGCTATTTGTTATTTTGTTGTAATTCTCAGACATTTGACACAGTTAATACAAAGACCCAAGTAAAAATGTTCATTGTTCATTAGGAAAGCCTTCCAGCTCATTATTCATCCTCATTATTACGATCTGACTTGTGTTTTTCCCCTTTCTGCATCATTATTTGGGATTTTTTCCATTGGTAACAAAAGATTAGTAATGACATGAAGTGGCTTTCATGTTACGTTCTTATAAATACAACCACATCAAGTCACCCACACTCTGTGCTGTAATGTATATTGCTACATATGTACAAAAAAACGCATTATCCGTTGTAAGGATATCAACGTTCTAAATAAAAACATGTGTTGTTACATGTTGGATGTGATATACAAATCTTCTATCCTCAATATTTTTTTGTGCATCATGTCCCAAAGGACCACTACACATCACACAGGCTTGGCTTTGGGTTCAAGCAGAGGTTCTCATGCTTGCAGATGGAGCTGCCCATCCTCCACCAACCCAAATTAAATTTTTGACGCAAGAGAAATTGTTAAAACAACATGTTGAACAATGTACTTGACCACTCGCCAACTCAAAGCCGTATGGATGGTCTACCCTCACTCTTCCGGTTACCCCCTAGCTCCTGGATGAGAAAGAATAGAAAGGAAGAAAATTTAATGGGGAAAGCATAAACAGTTGATTGATTGGGAATTTCTTTATTTTGAATTTTTTATTCTAGTCTCATTGAATTTGAGGGTTTGTACAATTGTGATAAATAATGGAGCATAGTTTGTGACTCTTAGGTAACATACAACTGGTAAAGTCCTGGTGGTTGTCTTGAAATAAACTCCTTCAAAGTACTTACAACAACTGGCTAGGTCCTGGTCGTTGTCTTAAAATAAACTCCATACAAAATTATTCAAAATGTTTGTAGCAAACTTGGTAGATGAGATCTATTGAGAGATGATGAAAAGGAACAACCAAATGATGCCACATCATTCTAAAGTATAAATAAAACAGGAGAGGTAACGGAGTTGTCACATAGCACTGTTTTTGAAATATCTTTTCCACTAACATTGCTTCAGCATACGTACTAAAAACTAAGTAAAAGTCATAATAGCTGAAACCACTTCATGTCTCCTACAGGTAACTAACAAGGTAAATGTTCATAAGAGGGGGTACTTAAAAAAATGCACAAAGGGATTCACTGATAACAATTACCAAAAATAAATAAGTTCATTAGCAACAAACTCTACTCCACTCTGAAAAGATGTGTATAAAACTGTCAAACAAGGCGCGCCTTTAAGCAAGCAGAAAATCAACAAGAAAAGCAGGGGAGGAAGAGGAGGCATAAATAAAAAATTCAACAAATGATTTCAAACATGCGGTAGAGTTGAGGCAGTATGCATGTCATCATCAAAATGTTGTTTCAAACATTCATAATGCAGCGCAAGATACAGAAATAAGGCAATATGTGCCAAATTTAAATGCCAGCATCAAAAGATAGCACAAGAATAAATTGTCACAGCAACATTCATTTTACATATCTAAAGTAGTTATGTTTTTCTGTAGAATTAATAACATAAATGAAAAGAACTACTGTACCTTTAAAATTGCTTTCAGTTATTTATAATCCAGAAAATTTGAAGTTTCAGCCCATGACGCTTTGATGGGTCCAACTCTCAAAACAAAATTGTGACTAGAAAACATGCAAAGGAATAGACACTTGACGTCATCCAAATAACATGAGAAACTGACCCAACACTTCCCTACACTAAAGAGAGCTTAGGATCAAAAGGCACGAGTTTGAAACACCATTCTACAGGATCTTACAGTACATACAAAATATAAATTAAAAAATCTTACAGTTAACCACAAGTTGTTAATAAGTGAAATTGCACTTCCATGAAGTCATAAAAATAGAATTCTACACAAAAATAGCAAACACAGTTTATGACAACAGAAACCCTCTTAAGTTAAATGCCCACTACTAATAAAATCACCACACAACACCTACAACCTGAGAAGTATTAAGTTAAAACATACACCACGTTAAAAGTAAGAGGGCGCAGCGCCCCTGATTAGATTAACAATAAAAACAAACAGGTTTAAATCACAAGACTTAAGATACAAACCAATGCATATCAGCTTAAAATTATTATATACAGTTATCCTTTCATAAATTGATAAAAAAGAAAGGTTTTCAGCACCAAAATAGGTTTTTGAACGAAGTATGATGTAAGGTAGACATAGTGACAGAGGTTTTCTAGAGAAAGAAGAAACTGCCTGTAACATCCAGTTAAAAATCACATCTCAGCCTCTGGCTGGAGATGACAGATGAAGCCGACATGTTTGAGAATCTGGCATAGCTGAATTACGGCATGGTCGCCCATCTCTGGTGTACCCAATACATGGATTTCTTGGAGTACCAGACCTAGAAGGTGTTTGACTGTAAAAAGATAGAATTTTGAAAAATTTTCAAAATAATGAATTTTAGTACACATTGTGCAAACTAGGTTATCAAGTTCCTTACCTGAGAGAACTGCGGCTACTGACTGGTGTATCTGATCTTAGCACAGACGCGTTGTACATTCTTGGAGGATTTGAAAGCAATCTCTGAGCCTAAAATTATTCAAAAATTTAAGTTAAAGAAAAAATTACATTGTAGTTGTTTTTCAGACATGCATGTATTAACTTAAATATAGTTTCTCACCGAAATTCTTATTTCTTGTTCAACTGAGCCTTCATCCTCACTATTGTTCCCATCATCGACTTCATCCTTGGAAGCATTACGGACATTTGTCTGTTCACCTGCTGGGACCTGCCCACCAGAGAGGCTAAATAGTGACATTACTTTTCCAGTACTCTCAGATACTTTCCCTAAAAATTACAAATTATATTTTTAAAATCACACTGTCCATGCCATAAAACAGGCAAGGTCTTCATGAATACAACACATACGTTTAGAATAATTGTAGAAAATCCCAAGACTTGACCAGCAAGTCGATAGAAAATCAGGAGAACTTGCAATATTTGTACTTCCAGCCTCAGGAGTCACTGCTTGACCATTTACTGGTGCATTTACTCCAACACCGTTTGGAAGAGAGGGATGGTACATTACAGGAGTACGTCTTGAAATGTAACCTTCCAGAACAAACCACTCATGGAGTGAAGTAAGGAACCAATTTACTGGACAAACAAGAAGAGTCATATTAGTATTCACCTGCTATTACTTTGCAAAATACCTGCAATTCTTTCCAAGGTATGATCTAATAAATAATGGACTTAATTTTCTTACCTCCAGTAAACAAAATTAGTAAGAGGGTAATTCCTGGAAAATCAAGGGCTCCTTTGGCACCTTCTTGAGATGTCAAAGCAAGATTTAGAGGAACAATGAGAATCAGAGCACAACGAACAGCAGGTGGAGCTTGAATGAAAGAAGTTGCAATCATTCCCAGAACAAGATACAATCCATGGGCCAAGCACTGCTGAATCCATTCTAGCTGGTCTCCTACAATAACAATACAGAATTGGCAAGATTTTGGAACAGGTCCTGCATTAAAAGAAGATTGAAAATGACAGCTCTCATTTAAAATTACCTGATTCAGTGATAAACTTGATAATCCAACCAAGCCTCTCATCTATTTCAGAACGAGTTCTGTCAACTGTTTTCATCAAGTACTCAACAGAAGCATTTATTTTAGCTATGTTTTGGAGCATTTTTTCAAAGTCATCAGCCGCTTCAGCATGTTGGTCCAGAATTTTCTTTGTGCTGGCATCAACTTGATCCCAAATGTCAAATGCCTTCCGCTGTAGGTTTTCCAAATCAGCTAAAACTTGCAAATGATTTTTCTGATTTGCATTAGCTTGAGTAGAGAGCTGACTGCTCGCTTCATCTATAAATTAAGAAACACCATACATTACATATCCTGCGATTTTTCTACATGTCAGTCAAAATTAGCAGCTTTGTTGATTGAAATTTAATTAGTGTTAAACTGACCTAGCTTGGATTTCACCTCTTTTGTCATGAGAGACAATTCTCTATGGCCAGCAGCAATTAGTGCTTTTTCTTTTGTCAACTCTCGAAGGTTTAGAGCAACAAAATCATGAACACTCTGCTGAGAAGTTTTAAGTTTTTCTTGCTCTGCAAGCAATGTTTGATGGCCCTTGGACACTGATTCTAATGTACCAGAAGTGAGAGTTTCAAGTTTGGTTTGACCATCCTGAAAAACAAAACATAACTTGAGAGGAAAGACAGAAAACAACAGCAATTATACAATAGCATAATAGCAATACAAAAACTTACTCTTAACAAATCCATTGTGTGAAGCTGCTCATTTGCAGTCCTCATAAGCCTGTTTACTGTCATTTCTGAGAGGGCTCGAAACTGTTGATGTCTGGCTGCATAACAGACTGCCCGGGCACGATTATTCATCAAGTGATATGTATTCCACATATCTGAGTCCATCTTATTTGTACAGTCACGCAATGACTGAAGAGATACAAAGCAACTTAGTTAATGAGATGATGAGACAAAAAGATGTAAGATATATTTACGATGCAAGAGCTTTACCATTTTCTCAGTACATGGGAACTGTTGCCTTCCTTCAACAGCTGACTGACAATTTAATAGGTTAACACTTAGTTTGGCAAGTTCCTCTTCAGATATAGAGGCGCATGATGACTGAATTTTCATAACAACCTAACCCAAAAGAAAATGATGCAAATTTAATTCACTTACTTTATCAAATACAACACTTTAGGAACAATAAGGTACCTTGTGTTGGCAAGTGTCAAGCGCCGATGTTTTGAGGCCAACCAACTTTTCTGCTTCTCTCAAAAATTTATCTTCTGGTGTAGCTTCCTCAAATGGGACTTTCAGAAGTGGAACACCATCCTGAACAGCTACTTCCTTTTCATTAGGGTTTGACCAGCTGCTGATACCCATCCATTCTAGGAGTGAAGAACCAACAACAGGCCGACAGGAGCACAGAGCAACAAGTACCAGCAGCGAAAAGGTGCTCATGTGAAACTCTTGAGACGGCATAGTTCTGAAACATACATTCACAAAAGTTGTTAGAGGGGCGGATAAGTGTCTTCAACCATTAGACAACTTTCAAACCATGTTACGGCACAACGAAAATTCTAAGAATATAACCACAACAGACAGTTATGAGCCTTCGAACGATCTCACTAGGATCCCGATTCCTGGTAAAACGTCAGAACTGACGATGAAAAATCTGACTTTGACCAGTCAAAATAAGCTCTCATCCTGGTTCAATTATGGAACAACCAAGACTAAAAGAAACAGAAGTAGGTAACAACGGTTTAAAGACAAGAAGGATTGAATAAGTGGCCAGATAATTCACATGAAAAAGAGTGTCATGTGAAGGTGCATCAAAGTATTAAAGCAAATATAAATGATTTTCTGCAAAAAGATTTAATGAATTCAACAAATAGCTAGAAGTTTGATACAAGGAACCATAAGGGCAAAGGTGTGTAACCAAGGTATGTCTCGCTTCTATCGCGGTCAAACGGATTTCCTAGCAGGAAGAGTAAGAGATTTATTCTAACTAACACAATTCGATAGCACTTTGCAGTATGTTCATAAGCGATGACTACACACAAGTTAAGAGCCTTAGGAGCAACCGTTCTGTTCAAAACATGTTTAGACTCGCTCGCTACTGTTTTTGTTTTTGTTCGCAACCGAGTCTTGTTCTTGTTGTTTTTGGCGTGAGAAGTCTGGTAGAGATGACCCGATATTGTAGCATAGTTGATTTCGCTACGCAAGTACTGTCAACCTTTTATCACTCATTCGTATGCTGATAAATCACTTCATTTTCCTGTTAAACCCTCGTCGATTGCTTAAAAGTCAAGAAAGCGTAAGAAGAAAACGCCAAGAAAATTGGATTTTCAACATAATATTTTCATACTTTACTGGAGGCATGCTCAAAGCAAAGCTGCCAACTTCCTCACTTCGCAAGTTTTCCGAGGTATAATTCTTGCCAAGTAGGCAGCATTTTCTCGATCTGCCGTGATCACAGTGTAATCTGCATGTAATCATACAGAATGATTACGTGCATCATTATACAGTGGCTCAAACCCTGAACCACGCTGAACGAGACGAGAGAAGGTGCGGCCTAGCGCATAGGCAACCGGGTGGGACAACTTGGTCGGCCCGGCCAATCAGAGCAGAGCGGGCTTTCTCGCTCTCGCGACTCTAGGCGCGCGACTCCACTCCAGATGACAGGAAGCAGCCAAGCAGCGACCTCGACTTGTCAACTGTCAAAAACTAATGAGCCTTTTGTTCCAAAAAAAAAACTCTAATGAAGCCAATTACGTCCGGAGTGTATCGGTAGAATCAATTTTTTTCTTACCGTAACATTGCTACTGCTATTAATCAGTATCTCCACGTTAATACAATGACCTGGTAAGATAAGGTTATGTTTATAACATCCTGACACAGAGCAGGGAACACCCACCAATTTCACCATGTAATCTGTCCCTATTTCAACCTTTCAGGAATCCTTTGAAGAAGACACACCTGAATACCCGTCCTTCTTCAGCTTATCCTGCTATAACACAAGAAGATGACAGGAACCTGGATATATTGTGTCGTTATTTGCAAAGGTGAACAAACAAAGTTTGTTTGTACGAAGCCTTGTTTGGTTCATCCATTAATCCCTGTTTTTGTTGTGGCCTCTTACAGTGTGGAAGATAGCACCCGTCAGCTCCAAAAATTTATGAAGAAATACCTAGAGGCTGTGTCAAATGCTGACAAAGCTGAGATGAAACTGACATCAGATTTGAGTTCCAGTTCACTATGTCATGAAAACGCAGACCTTCGTAAACTTGTAGAAGACTACCATAGTGTTACAGTAAAGGTATGAGTAAATTTCTTAATTTTTCTCCAAATTCAATAAACATGTGATGATCATTTCAATACCTGTTTCAGCAAAGTGATGGAACAGCTGAATTGTCTCGTGTAACCCAACGAACATTTTTGGAACCTCTTAAGAAATTTGGTGATGAGTTTTGTGGTCTAGCAAACACACTCCATGCTCATGAAAGATTAATACAAGAATGGAAAAATATTGCAGCAAGGGTGTGTATGTTTGATGGTGTATCTGTTTGCAGTGCTTAGTTTTTAATTTTTGGTGTGATTAATAATAAGAGGTGATATACTTTCATAGGTAAAGAAACTGGAAGAACGAGGTGATAAAATGCCTAACACCATTGTAAAACTTGAAAGAGAGAAACAAAACCTGGCTGCTGCCATTAAAGAAATATCTACAAGTCACAAAAAAATTATGGAAGAGTTTCCTGTTTTTTATGACAAAAGAATAGATTATATTCAGCCTACCTTGCAGGTGGTGTTATCAATATCTTGTATATTTGGTTGTGCAGATGCATAAACATACTCTGACAATTTTATGACCTACTCTTTGCAGGCTTTAGTAAGGGCACAGGTTGATTACCATGGGAATACGACTCGTTGTTTTACTTTTTTGGTTCCAAGTGGCCCTGGAGTATCATACAGCAAGAGTGGAAAATTATGTGAACCAGAAAATACCTCTCGTCAAGTGTCTCCGTCCCTCATTCCAGAACCTCAGTTTCGGTCTATTATCTTTGAAAAGCTTGGTTCCATTCGCTCTTTGTCTATTGTCAAAGACACAGCGTAAGGCAAACCTTCCACCATTTCTGGACTGTTTTACGCCTCTTCTCTTCATTTTCTCTTTTTACCCTCTGTACTATCTGACCAACCAAAGTGTCACTATTCATTAGATAGTGATAATCCCTTGCTTTAAAATTTGTGATACTGTCTCATTGAGCATTTCTTTTCTATCGTGTTATGTTATAGTTTTGAAATATATGAAATTTGTATTTGTTAAAATTACTTTATTTTTTGGACAGGGAATAAAATCAGCATGATGCTGTCCTGGAGACAGGTAGCGTGACCCCACCGCAAATCAAAGAGCCGAAAGAGCATCAATTTCAGTGACCTGTGTGTGTCGGGCCCGAAACGGCATACGGTCAGTTGTGGTCTAGCCCGTAATGGTAATGGTGGTGGAGGTAGGCACCCCGCCAAACCCATGTGTGCGGCGGGTTGGCCTACCCTCGACTTGACAGGCGCTATGGCGTAGTGCTCCAACAAGTGATGCCCCCCTTGCCGAACGACTGCGATGAATCGCTGAATACATGCCGCATGTATGAAACACAGCGATGAAGCCACTTTCCGGAATCAAAAAACGCCAAGTCATCGCGGAGTCCGTAAAGTCAGCGCTGAAATCCCGAGTCCTTTCTGCCCTTTTCCTCTGGACACTGGACGGGTCGGACGAGCCCAGGCGTTTAGTCTTGTCCAGCTGGTCCGGCTGCCAGCTTCAGCTTCCTGCTCCCTCGCCAGTCTGGCAGGGGCACGGCGCGCCCGCGGCACGGCCAAAGCGAAGCAGGGCGAAGCGAAACAGTGCAGCCAGACTCCTGACAGTGCACTGGCCGTGCCTGCCGTGGAGCCATGCCAAGCCAGCCGCGGAGGGCGGGCACCTTCTGGTTTGGCTTCGTGCCGCCGTCGTCCCGTCTCTGTCGCCCTCATGGGGCAGCCATGCCGTAGGGACGCGAGAGAGACAGAGCTCTGTTCGGAATCACTCTCCTGGAGTGGTGCGTTGCTATGCGACACGAGCCGGCACGCTGTGCACTGGGTTTCCCCGCCCCCGCAGTGCCCCGCACCACGGCGGCATGCCGACGACTCCCCTGGTTCATGTTTATGTTGGAGGGCGACGTGGATGGACACGGCGGGGACCTCGGCGGAGGCGGCCAGCCGGCCAGCACCGCACCGCTTTGTTTTGAAAGGGAGAGTGATTAGGAGCGCCTTTTGCCGTTCCCGCCCAGCTCGCCTCGGTGCTCGCACGGGCCGCGGCAAGGATATGGGAAAGGAAGGGGAGGGGGAGGGGGCCGGCAGAATGAAAGTGGCGATCGGGGCGGGCTGGGCTGGGCGGACCGGACTGGCGCGGCGTCACGGCGGCGTGCCGAAACACCCCGTGCGCGCCACGCTGCTTCGCTGCGCAAGGCGCGGAACGGCCGTGAGCACGTCCTCATCTCCTTGAACACACTCGAGTCCCGCGCCTGCGCTTTTCGTCCGTCCTGGCGTGTAGTGCGCTTTGTGCGGTGAGCCACTCCGAACCACGAAGATCGGATCCGGGACGGCGAAGAGGGGGGCGGGATGCAGGTGTTTGTCACCGGAAGGACGCTGCCTGCCCGGTTAAACGGCGTGGTGGAGTTGGTAGAGCGGAGGACAGTCCAGCCCGTGGACGGGGCCGTCGAATCCGAGACCATCGACGGTGGATGGACAATGTCCTGGACATGGACGGTCTGCAGTGGTACAGGCGGCACCAGGCCGCCAGGCGCCGCCAGGCCCAGCGAGCCGGTTATGCAATTGCACCGAGTCAAAGTGGATCACTTCACTTCACATCGCGTGCGGCTGTGCTATTGGTCCCAATTTGAAGGAGCTGCGAAACCAGCGGAACGGAAACAAGTGGCGGCCGAGCCGTGCGAGCCCGTCCGTCAGTCCGCCGCATGGCGGGCATGCCTCCCTGTTGGTGTGTGACATCGACATCTTCGGCCGTGCAGGCCGTGCAGGCGCACAGCGCGCACAGCGCGCACCAGGTCCCCGGTGGACCGGATCGCCCTGCATCGCCCAGCATTCCGTGCGTGTCCGCCTGTCTCTCTGTCCGTCGGTCCGCGTCGGTCCGTCTCGCCGCCTGTTTGCCCGTGCGTCTGCCTCCCCTCCAGGACGGCGCCGTTACGGCGTTACGTCACGCGGGCACCGAGAGAAGCCAAGGAGTCTCGCCGTGCCTGGCCCAGGCAGGCCCAGGCCTGGCCGGGCCGAGGCGAACCGTGCGCCGCGCTGTCACAACGAGGGAAGTACAAGGGTCCTCGTTGCCAATGCCTCTGCCTCAAGACACGCAGGACATCGGTTCGCTCCCCGACGGCTCCCAGCTCCATGCCCCGTGGTTGAGGCCTGATGAAGCGGCACGCGATCACCGAGTCGCACCGCCACGCTATGCCCCCGCTCTCCGTTCCCACAGTCTTGACAGATGGCCGAGTGGAAAAGTGACGCTTTTATTTGACGACGGTGATACCCCGCACCTGCAGCTGCGCTAAAGCGGCTCCTTGTTTTGACGACTCTCTCTTTCCCCCTCTCTCCGCGCCACGCCGCGCCACGCCGCGCGCGGCCGAGGAAGGGGAAGGGTTGCTTCAGGGAGGGGGGGGCAGGGGCTATACCCCCGTATCGCTCCTCTCCGGCGGACGCCGAACCTCCGACCGAAGACTCGGAGAAGGAGTAGAGGAACGCCCCGCCGCGCCCCGCCGCGCCCCGCCGCGCCTCGCAGTGTAGCTGCCTGGCCAGCCCCCTTCCCGGAGCCCCGCGAGCCCCCCGAGGCGCGGCGACCACGCCACCGCGGCCACACCGCACCACTCCGCGGAGCTTAGCGGAGCCCGCGTCGCGTCGCGCAGCGCCGCGTCCAGTTCTCCAAAGTGTCCGCAGTGCCGCGTCGCCCCGCGTCGCCCCGCGCCCTGCCCTACGCAGCCGCGAGCACGCCGCCAGAGGCCGGCGTCGTCGTGGTCCCGGACGCGACGCCCACGCGCAGCCAGAGCCAGTGACAGTGCCAGTGACAGCAGCCGACCCCTGTGTGCGCGGCCAGTGAGTGCGAGGTGCGAGAGGTGCGACAGGGCCACACAGGATACGCCCAGGATACGTCCAGCAGACGGCGGGCCTGCCAGACTGGCACACTGCAGACTGGCCGGCGAAACGATGCGGTAACAGGAAGCCGCGCAGGCTTTCCCAACAGTTGGCGGCCCGGACCGCAACGCGCCACCGCGCCACCGTCGTCGAACCACGTCCTGCGCCGCGGGAGCTGCAGGGCGAGCACCACCAGGATCACCTGAAAGGACGGCGACGTTGTGAAGGTGAGCCCGGCGGCAAACAGAGGCTGGTGTGAGTCCTGCCCAGCACTGCCGGGGTCCAGACCGAGGCCTAGGGCCGCCGCGGCGCGCGGGGGATGAACTTGAACCGAGGCCGCGGACGGCGCGGCGCGACCGGCTGCCACCTGCTCGCGGTCCTTGACGTCCCCGACGCCGTGCACCAGGACCGACCAGGACGCTGCGCGCCGTCAGCGGCCGACGGCCAGTGGGCTTATCAGTGGCGGAGAAAGCTGTGCGCGGCGGGAGGGGAGGGGAGGGGAAGACCAGGGGAGGAAAGGGGGGGGGGGTCTGACTTTCGCGCGCCCCACACGCTGCACTTGCGCCCCCCGCCGCGACCCGTGCACGCGCACTGCACTGCATCGCCGTGCAATTCTTTTCCGCGCACACACCACGGAGTCATTCCGACAGAATTGGTCGCTGGTAAAAAGAGGGGGGGCAAGGCGCGACACGCGTTGACACGTGTTATGGCAGCTGCTTTCTCCGCGACTCGCGTCCGGGCGGGCGGCAGCCCAATGGCAGCACCGCGAGAACGACGAGAACCTTGAGCACGGCGACAACAAGAAGCGCATCACGGTCCAGTCAGCAAGCCAACAAGTCGTTTTAGTGGGTCTGTCTCTCTCGCACATATACGGAACACCCCGTGAGTGCGAGAGGGACAGAGCGACGAAGAAAACGACTGCGACGTGCACTATGCACCCCAAGCTGAGCTGCCCGAGCTCGCCAAGTGGCTTGCGGCCGCTTGCGGCTTGGGGAGTCCGACTAGATTGCATTTTCTTTGCGGTCGCACTCCGAATCCCCGGACCGAAAACTGCGCCGCGCGCGGCAAGTCGTGTGCAGTGCAGCCATGACGCCGCAAAGGGCAGAAACAGGCAGAAAATAGAGCGGCCTCGCACGACGCGCGTGTTTCCATGCTTCCGCGGTACTGAGGCTCTGCTCTGAGTGCGCTTCTTGTCGCCTCGCCTCACCGCGCCTCGCTTCAAGTCGGCCCGGGGCCTTGCCCAGCCTCGCCCCGGGACCGGCATGGCAGTCGTGAGAACGGAGATGGTTTATCGCCGCCACAGCCGAACCACCGAACTAAGTCTTGCTCCTCGCGTGTCGTCGCGGGAAGCGGCGGTGAGGAGCGAGCGGGACTTCCCTCTGCTCTCCGCCAAGGGCGCCGGGGCACTTTACCTTTCGTGTGCCCGTGAGGTTCTCATGGCGTCGAACCGCGAGGTTAGGGCGGCGATTTTCTTAAAACTTTTGGGGTTGCCTGTGACTGTAGTATGACTTCGGCATGGCCGGCCTCAATTTTGTCGCCAAAGCCTTTGGACAACATTTTGCTCGCCGTCTTTCGGGAGTTGCGATTTTAAACGAAACTGGCAGAGGCCTCTTGCGAACGGGCCCACCACGCGGCTAGGTTGTAATCCAGTCCGGAGTTGAACGGCCCGCTGCCTCCACTGCCTCGATGGCAGCGGGATGGAAAGGGGAGGGGGGAGGGGCGTCCAAATGAATGGTTATGCCGGAGCGGCGGGCTTTTGGCTGTCGGTTGACACAGCGCGCCGGGCCGCCGCGAGGTAACCACGAGGCTGGCAGTGAGGGCAGGGCAGGGCGGGGCGCCTCCGTCTCCGCGGTCCGCCGGTCCGCGAGTCCGTGACCGCGCCAAAATAAAAAGAGGTCCGCGCCGGCCGCGTGGACGGCGTTGACTCTGAGTAGTGTTTGCGCGCCGCTGGTTGGACTGGCTCGTCTTCCCCCCTCCCCCTTCTTTCTTTCTCTCCCTCCCTCCCTCTCGCTGGGATGTGCGGCTCCTCAAACACACCTTGGCTGTCTTTGGCGTTCAACTTCCGGTCGGAGAGCTTTGAGCGGGCCTTCGCATTTAACATGCTGGAAGAAACGAAAGAGAGAGAAAGAAGGGGGGGGGGGCGTCCAGAGCCCGGCGTCGGCCTGGAAGGTGACCCGCGGGTACCGTAGTAAACTGGTCCACACTGGTCCGCGGAAGCGTAGAACTGGCTTGGACGCCTGCTAAACGCGACTACTCGGCGCTGGATAGTGGATCGGTTTCAAACGTCGTAGAAGCGATGGCCGAAGGCGCTGCGCAGCGCTAGGTGCGGCTAGGTGTGCGCCGTGCGCAAGCTGGAGGCGACATTCCGGGAAGGTTGGTCCTCTTCGGCGTGCCCGCCCTCGCCCTGCGTCGCCCTGCGCTTTGCTCGGTGGGCCCTGGGCGAGCCTGGGTGATTACGGGTTGAAAGCACGGCCGGGATGAGGAGGCCTCCGCTTCGTCGCTCTGTCTCTCTCGCACCCCGGCGGGGCGCCCTATGAGTGCGAGAGAGACAGACTTGCTAGGCCTGCCTGCCCTTGGCGACCTCTGGCGGAGGGCGGCCCCGTCGTGACGCCTCCAGCTCCAGAGCCCCGCCTGAGTGTGGCGGCCGGGCCGGGGTCGACGAGGACGATACGCAGCGTCGTGATGAGGACGCCGCCGACGAGGACGCGGACGGCGCCGCCCGGAGTGACGGAGCCTCCCCCGCCGTAGCAGCCGAAGCGACTTGGAGGCTTGGAGAGGCTGGAGTGCCGGCAGCGCGGCAGCGGCACGCGTCGCGAGTCGACAAAGTAATACTTAATTTTGACGGCTGTGGCGCGCAAACCGCCGGGGCGGCAGGAGCAGAGCGTGGATCTCACTTCCAAGAGAAATAGAAAAAGATGAGGCGGCCGCCACGCCGACGCGCCGCGCCACTGCACAATGCCGCGCAATGGCCGTGCGGGGCCGTGCGGGGCCGTGCGGGGCCACGGCGGAGCGGAGCAGCCTTTTTCCGCCTGAAGAAGGCGCGGTCGCAGAGAATAGATTACAACCTGTTGACTTTGAAAGGCGCTTAAATTTGGCGGCACGAAGACGCGGCGATGAGAAGGCAGTGTACGCGCCGCTGCTGGAGGAGCTTTAATCTTTACGAATGCATTGGCTTGGGTTTACAGAGAAGGAGTGATGTGCCATGCCAAAGCTGAGTACTCAGGAATAGCCGGCGCATACAACACATTCGCGCGCGCTCACACTGACACACGCACACACGGACACGTATTTGCACATTGTCCAGTAACGGTCATACTCGTCGGTTTGCACTCCTCTTTAGCGAGTGGGCCGTCTGGCCAGCAGCGCCAGCAGCGCCAGCAGGCGGTGCCGAAGCGCACGGCCACGGCTTGGGTGAGCTTTCCGAAAATGAAAACAACGAGATATCGAAGTGCATGGCAGCAGGTAGAAACACAGCTGGTCGAAGGACGAAAAATTCTTGGGCGAAAACGTCGCGGAAAGGAGTGATGGAACGCTAGGTCGTTTGCGCAAAATGGCGCGTCCAAAGTGAGGCAGAGGAGCGAGCCAGCACCAGCTAGACCGGCTAGACCTCGTGCCAAAGTCACAGCGAGGCAACGCCAGGCATTGCCAGGGCAATGCAAGGCGAAACACGCGAGGCGTGTGCTGAACCTCAAGCAGGCGGCCCGGGCCAGGTCGGGCCGCTGAAGCGAAGACGCGTTTCTGTTGTTTTTGCTGTCTTTGGTGTTGTTTCCTGCCTTCTCCAGCCACTGGCAGCCAGGCGCCACGCGACCGGTCCCTTACCGGCACCCGGGGCCAAGCCCGGGGCACCGCGGCAGTACGCGGCAGTATGGAGGCGGCAGCGCGGCCGTGGGAGCCTCAAGACGTTGTGGGAGCGCGAGCGAAGCAAGCGAAGCAAGCGAAGCGGCCCTGGGGCTCCTCGGCGCTGCCGAAAACGCCCTTCGCGTCGACCTCACGCTCACGGGCACCATCGGGGACAATCGGGGATCATCGGGGACCTTCTGCCGAGGGATTCCACGCTCTGTCTCCCTCGCGCTGCCGGAAAGTGCCGAAGGACTGCCAGCGACAGAGCGAGCTGACGGCGACCTGGCCGCGCTACCGGGCTGTCGCGTGCGTGCGCGCTGCGCGGGCAGCACTGCCGCTGTGCGCGAGCGCGGGGTCGCGAGCCACAGCGACGACCGTCGCGACGAGCCAAATTTCCTCCGAATGGCCTGGCGGCCTGGCGGCCTGGCGGTCGCGGCTTAATGCTGCTATTTCGAGCTCGGGCCGAGTTGCAGCGGTGGTCGCGTGCAACCCATACAGCTGTCCGAACTGTCCCGACGGTCCGAAAGGGGGCGGGCAGGGCGGGCAGCGCGCGCTCATGCAGCGAACGCCGGGACACTTGCGTGGCTTTAGATTCAAGGATGGTGCCTACCACGAGGGAGGTCACAAAATGGTCAATAATGACAGTCCGTGACGTTCAAACGAGTTGCTACGAACTGACTCGGTTTTGACCTTGATTGATGGTCACAATCACATCGAAGTGACACCACCGTGCGCTTTTCGCGTTTGTTGGGGCGTACAAATTTCGCCCTCCTCCGAAAACCCTTATTGCATGCTGGAAACGAAAATGATGGTGTTAGATTGCACCGCACTCTGAAAACCTAATATTTGGCCTTAAATAGATAACCTTACATACGCTCAAAATACTTGGTGAGATTATAAGCGTGCGACGCAGAGAGAAAATGATTCCCCCTCCCCGTCCCGCGGAGTTGCTGTATTCCGCGCGATGACCACACCAAAGTGGGCCGAAAACCACAGAAATGCTGCCGAGCGGGCCGGGGGGGGGGGGGGGGGGAGGGCTAGGGGGTGTAGAAACTTGCCAACGTCATGGTCGTGGACTCTGAAAACGGCCCCAAGACCAAGTCGCGCTTCCGAAAACACACGCCATGTACTCTGGGTTTGGTTTGAGGCGGTGCGGAAATGAGATAGACAAATGTGGCACATCGACTGGCGTGGCGTGGCGTGGCGTGGCGTGGCGTGGCGTGGCGTGGCTTGCCGTCCTCTAGCTGCCCTCGGCCCGGAGTGTGCCCACCTACTTAACGAGACACACTCCCTCAGGACGTGCCTTGAGGTGCCTTGAGGTTCCTTGAGGTGCCGCAGTGCGTCATTGAGAACCGATCGCCAACTCTACGCAGAATTTGGCACCCCCGTCCCCGTCTCGCTGCTCTTCGCGAAGTCGCTGCTGCTGCTGCTTGCGCTGCGAATTGTCACCGCTTCGAGCGGTACAGTGTGGTGGTGTGGAGACCCAGTGGGAAGGTGGAAAAGCCTTTCTACCTCCTTACAATGCAATTTATTGCTTCTCCAAATATGGCCGCAAATAATATGCGATTGTCAGTCCAATCTGCGGCCTGAACGTCGTCGACAAAGAGTGTCGTTCTTTTTGTTGATTTTCTCGCGATGATTTTAAATGCACGGACGGCTCGCGTTTGAAGCCAAGCGCCGTTGGCCCTAGAGACGACTGGGTGGGTGGGCTTTGGTAAGGACTCGTGTCTTCTTTTGTCCTCTGTGGAGCGGTCGGTGACGTTATTCCTTTGTCTTTCGCAGCTTGGCAGCCATGGAGTCCATGAGCCCTAGCTACGCCGTGTGCGTGCGGGGCGCGAGCAAGGCGTATGGCAGCGGCAAGAAGGTCCTCAACGTGCTGGAGCGCCTGGACATGACGGTGCAGAAGGGATCCATGTAAGTAACTCGGGAATTATAACTGTGGTCGTCATAGTTTGCTATTGTATCGGTTATCAATGTTGCTGAAAGTAACAATAATTTTTGGCACAATAATGTGATACTACAAGTAGTACATATATTTAAGCCGGGAAACCAGAATAAAATCTCTACAAGGCCATAGTCGCGAAGTTTTTCTGGCAGTGCATTATCCAGCAGAGTGGAGCCGAAAAAAATACTTGTGGCGGACTGTCAGACGCGTGGCTTCGCGTTAAACAGTTTAGCGCAAAAAACTCTCTCACGCTTGTCGAATTTAATCGCGGGCTGTTTGCGCGGGCCGCCTTCCAGGCCTTCCAGCCATTCAGCCGCGGAACAATTACTCTTTCCCGCCTGCAGTTGAATTTAAATTTTGAAAGCAATGAGCGGATGAGCGCGAAAACAGGTGGCAGCGAGGCAGAATCGGCAGTCCAGGAGACCGAACAGCCATTAGGCAGGCTATCTTTAGATAAGCAAATGCTTGGAATTTGCAAAATGGGCATGCGTCACACCTTCAGAATTGTTTTTTTTTTACAGTGACTGCAGTGTCGGCTCACGCTTTTGCCTGTGCACTGTGAACTGCCGCTCCCGATGCGCGCTGCGCAGCGAACGCACACTGTCGGGCGTCACGCCGTCGCGGGGACGCGGGGTTAGCAAGTGACAGTCTTGTCTTCCTCCAGGCAGAGGCCCTTACGTCACGCGGGTGCCCCGCTGCCCCGCTGCCCCCGCGCCCCGCGCCGCGCGCCCCGGCCGGCAGATGACAGTGACGCAGTCCAGGCCGCGTGCCAGCCGCGAAAAGAGAGGGAGGGGGAATCGAATCCGCGACTGCGAACGAAAGTTGCCCTCCCACTACAATACCGCACCGGCTGCGGGTGGGACAGAGACCACGATGCGCCGCGATGGCAAAAAGCCATCTTGTAACGCGGCCGATAAATAGTTGCAGCAAAGGCTTCGGCAGCTGTTGGGCAATGATGCGATCTGCAAACGACTCCTAGTTGGGTCGAAGGTGGGATGCAAATGCATTTGGATGATTGGCTTGTTTTTTGATCGCTGACACATGCGCGAGCAGACGGCACGCTAAATGCTATCGTAGAACAGGTGCTCTTTCAAGGTGATATTTTCGAGAGCCTGGACGCGCTGGAGCATGTGTCGGGCCTGGAGTGCCCTGGAGTCCCGGGAGTCGCCACGGCCACGGGCTGCAGGGCGGGCGGCCACGGCGGCCACGGTGGCCACGCAAGGACCTGGACTGGAGGGTCTGGGTCGGGCAGGCACTGGGCGTGGAGGTGTCCGGGCCGGCCAGGGCCCCGCCAGGCCCCGTCCCCCGCGGAGCGCGGAGCGGACGGGTTACTTTCACTCTCAGTCCCCCCACCCCGTCCCTCTCCGCTCCCCGCGCCGCACCTGGATGACGCGCAGTGGATGGAGTGCGCCTTTGCGCCTGTAAAGCCTTATTACCTGGTGGCGGGGTGGGGCGGGGCGGGGCGGGGCAGGGTGGGGTCGGCACGTGGTGGACGCAATGTAATAGGAGATGGTCGCCGCCAACTGTCGGACTTGGTCTGAACAGAGCACTTGGCGTCACTTCGTGCACTTCGTGGCGTGCGTCCCGCCGTGTCCCGGCCGAGCGAGATGCGCCGAGGCCGAGGTAAGCCGTCCGAAGGCAAGCCATAGGCAAGCCAAGGCTGCGCGACCACTATTACGCCCGATTACGCGTTGGCAGGATTGTTCCGAACGGCGTTTTCGTCGCGATGTTTCTCTCTCGCACTCGTCCGCCCTTCCCTCGGGGTGCGAGAGAGACATCGCGACGAAGTCTCCGTTCGGAATGGGACCGCCGAACAATGCGCGGCTTGGTGTCTCACGCGGCCAATCGGCTTGCGTCACCGGCCGAGACGTTTCCCGAAACATCGAAATGCGAGTCGGAATGGAATGGCGGGCCTCTGCCTCCAGAAGGGCACGCCGCGTCGCGTCGCCTCGCGTCGCGCAGTCTCGCGATGTCGCCAGGCGGGCGAACGCCGCTTTGCCGCTTCGCCTTTTTGGCGGTCTGTTTCCAAGGAAACGCTCCCCAGGGCGTGCGTGCGTCTCACTTCGGCTAACCGCCCCCACCCCCTCCCCCCTTTTCCTCTTACAGTGCTTTGTGTGCTTCGCAGAGGCTCCTCTGTTCAAATCAAACCCCCAGCGAAAAATATAAAGTTTGACTAACAACCGAGGAGTCAGTTTCTTGGGAAAGGAGCGGCGGCTGTTGCAACTGTGTCACTCGTGGCGAGAGGAGGGGGGGGGGGAGTTGCGACTGGCGGCGGTGGGATTCAGCTTCCAGGTGCATGGCTGCATGGCTGTGTGAGGTAACTGCGCCTCTTTCTTCAGACCTACAATACCAATACCACTGCATCTCGGCACGTGGTGCGCGATCCCAAACAGCGACCCCCCCCCCCACACACACACACACTCACAGGCACGCACGTAGACACACAGACACAGACTCAAAGCGAGCACCTCCGATGATCCGGCAGCCAAGTCACGCCAAGCGCGTCCAAGGATGCGAGCCTTGGCTGAGCCTGCCCGCACCTTGCCGTGGTTGGCCAAGCGGAGTTTGCGCGCCCGCCAAGCCCCTCGTCCCTAGACCTATTTCTATTTTTATTTGTATCTGTTTCTATCCGGGCTTTACCGGTGAATTCAAGTTTCGGGACTAGTAAGGTTGTGCCGCGCTTGGGACTTTAGAGGAATCGGAAGGACCGGAAAAGATGGATGAGGATCGAGAAAAATGCTCCCTCCTTTAAGAATAGTGTTCCATTTCCACGGAGTGTGGTGACAGTCTTCTTGTGTCCGCAGCTACGGGCTCCTGGGCGCGTCGGGCTGCGGCAAGACGACGCTGCTGTCCTGCACGGTGGGGCGCCGGCGCCTGGACGCCGGCTCCGTGTGGGTGCTGGGCGGCCGTCCGGGCGAGCCCGGCAGTGGCGTGCCCGGCCCCCGCATCGGCTACATGCCCCAGGACGTGGCCCTGGTCGGCGAGCTCACCGTCCGCGAGACGCTGCTCTACTTCGGCTGGCTGTTCGGCATGAGCGACGACGCCATCGGGGAGCGCATCGTGTTCCTGCAGCAGCTGCTCGACCTGCCGCCCTTGAACAAGTTCGTCAAGCTGCTCAGGTAGGCCCGCCGCACTGCCGCGCCCCAACAACGTGTCTGCCACCCTCGCTCCGGTCTGGCGTTTGACGTTCCTTTCGGCTTTACGCAGTGGTGGCCAACAGAGGCGGGTGTCCTTCGCCGCCGCCCTGGTGCACGACCCGGAGCTCCTGATCCTGGACGAGCCGACCGTGGGCCTGGACCCCATCCTGCGCCAGGCGTAAGTATCCCCGTCACGCACGCAGTGCACGCAGTGCCTGCAGTTGTCTTTTCACCTCGCCGTCAGCTCACCAGTCATTGTTCCCTCCGCAGTATCTGGGATTACCTCGTCACCATCACCCGCGACGACCACAAGACCGTCATCATCACCACGCACTACATCGAGGAGGCCAAGCAGGCGCACACGGTGAGGCGTGCAGAGTCCAGGGCGTGGTGCGGAAGCTTGGAACGCCCCACCGTCGCCTCACAGGCCGTGACTCACAAGCTCTCCCTTGCAGATAGGACTGATGCGCGCGGGCCGCCTGCTGGCCGAGGACTCCCCCAGCCGGCTGCTGGGCCGCTACGGCTCCGAGACGCTCGAGGAGGTGTTCCTCATCCTCAGCTCGAACCAAGGGCCGGTCGACCAGGGCCACGATGACCCGGGCACCGTGGACCAGGGCTCGGTGGAGACGCTCTCGGTGGACCAGGGCGCCGGCACGCTGCCGCTGTCGGCCAGCTCGACGGAGGCGCTGCACCAGGCCCACGGCTCCAACGGCGACCTCAACTCGTCGCCCAACGGCCACGACGCGCTCGCCCTGCAGAAGCTCCGCGCCAACGTAAGCACCGCACCGCTGGTCACTTCATTTCGGCACTGCGTTGTCGCGCGCAATTTACCGCTTGTTGGCTCGTGTTCCAGGGCAAGTCGGCCGCCTGCAACGGCGGCGGCCTCGGCGGCGTCCACGACGTGCCCGTCCGACCGAGTCCGCCTTTCTCCGCCATGTTCAAGGGCCACGTCAAGGCCCTGCTCGTCAAGAGTTTCCTGCGCATCCTCAGACATCTGGGGTGAGTGGCCGACTCCGACAAGGAGTAGCCTCGCCGTCGTTCAAATGTTCAATTGCGTGACCGCACGAAAACTCGCGTCTGTTTGCAGCGCCCTGGGCTTCATCTTCATCTTCCCGGTGCTGGAGGTGGGCGTGTTCTTCACGGCCATCGGCGGCGACCCCCAGGGCCTGCAGCTGAGCGTCGTGAACGAGGAGCTGTACGCCATGAACCTGACCAGCTGCGACCAGTACCGCGCGGCGTTTGGCGCCCCGGGCTCGACGTACAGTGGCGGCACGGACGACGACTACGGCCAGCCCGTGGGCAACTGCTCGGTGCGCATGCTGTCGTGCGCGTTCCTCGACTACCTCGACCACAACATGGCCAACCAGGTTGGTGGCGCACAGCGCGCGGAGCTTCCGAGTCCCAAGCGTTACCTCTTGACCTCTTTGCGATCCCTCCACCCTTCCAGGTGTACTACAAGGAGAGGGAAGAGGCGCTGAGCGCGACCAAGGCCGGCGACTCGATTGGCGTGCTCTACTTCAGCCCCAACTTCACCGAGTACCTGGAGGCGCGACGCCTGTACGGCTCGGAGCTGTCGGAGGACGAGGTGGAGCAGGGCGAGATCCCCATTTGGCTGGACATGTCCAACCGCCAGCTGGGCACCATCATGACCAAGAGCATCGTGGACTCGTATCACGCCTTCTCCAGGGACCTGCTGGGACGCTGCCACGCCAACCCCAAGATAGGGGAGATCCCTGTGCACTTCGAAGATCCTGTATACGGCGTGGACAACCCCAACTTCGCCGTGTTCGCCGCCCCCGGCATCATTCTCACGTAAGAAGAGCGCCTGATGGAGGCGGGGTAGGCCACCACGCGAGGCTAGCTGTCTGGCGGGCTGGCCTACCCTGCGTCCCGCAGGCGGCGAGCTGGCACGGCGCCGGGTAGGCCACCACGCGAGGCTAGCTGTATGGCGGGCTGGCCTACCTCGCATTTCACAGGCGCTACATCCCACCGCGGATGAGGACCCACCCCATATTCGCCTTAAGTCTTCTGAAGTAAGTACGTTCGCTTTTCAGTCACGCACCCCTTTTCTACTGAATTTCAGAATGATATTCTTCTTGACGACCGGCCTTACCGCAACGGTGATGATCACAGAGCGGCAGGAGGGCCTCTGGGATAGGAGCCTGGTGGCAGGTGAGGACATTGCCAGTATTGTCACCAACGCAATTGGCGCGTCCACTTGTATTTTGCGCCTCTCCTGACCAGTCTGTCTGTGACTTGCAGGTGTGACGGCTTGGGAGTCGCTTTTGGCCCACGTGGTGACGCAGGGGGTGCTCATGGGCATCCAGGCCGCCCTGGCGCTCATCATGATGTTCCTCGTGTTCAAGGTGCCCTGTGTAGGCTACATGGGCGACGTTATATCCCTCACCTTCCTCACGGGGATGACGGGAATGTGCTTCGGTATGTATATGCCTCTTATAGTTATAAAATTGATTTGTTGAGAAAATAATAAAATGGATCTTCTTCAACAGGATTTTTTGTATCTGTGTCGTGTGAAACGGTGACAAGTGCCAATTTCATGTCTCTTGGTAGTTTCTACCCAATCATTCTATTGAGTGGTAAGTGTAACTTTTCTTGTAGTAAGGCTATGTTATGACTCATGGAAAATTAGCAAGTGTCCTAATTGAAACTATTTCTAGGTGTCATTTGGCCCATAGAAGGAATGCCACTTCTCCTTCGCTGGGTTGCTCTATTCCTCCCAACAACATTGTCAACCACATCACTCCGAAACATTATGCTCAGAGGATGGAGTCTGAGTAAACCAGAGGTTTATGTAGGCTTTCTCGTGACCGCAGTATGGGCAGCAGCACTTATAACTTTGTGTATGATAATTCTAAAATACCGTAAGTAGGTAAGCTCACATGAAACTGCTCAATTCATTCACATAGTCAGTAAGAATCTTCAGACCAAGACATGTTGAAATAAATTGTTTCCACATGGCATCAACTAGTTCATAGATAGATTTTTTACTGTATTGAAAAGTTGTCAAATCTTTGGAAATTGTTAGCTGTGAGTCACAACCAGTCTTACATGATATTTGCAAGTAAGCTTTGAATCATGGCTGAATTAAAGCCTTGGCACTATAGTCAGTATATTTTAAGGCTAAAACTATTTAAGGTGGATCATCAATTGTATTTATTCAGAGCTTGAAGCTCTGTAGCCTAGAATATCATATATGAATCCCTTAATTTTAGGTACAAGTATATGTGTGATATCTTTGGTTGTAAATTTTAATTTGTCTTAAGCTAGACCCAGATTGAGACTGCAATAAACTAGAATTGAGGGGCAAAAACCCATGGATTCAGGTGAAGTGGCACTAAATTTTTAACCGATGGAAGGAACAGTATTTTAATTTACTGACCATTTGTTTTCTTAAGTAGTGTGATATGTACAAACCATAATACCGAGGATGGTAAGTCTCAATTTATGTTTTAGTTAGTCTAGAAAATGATATGTATACATAAACATGAGAGTAAATAGGAAGGAAACGCTTGACATGAGAAAATTCATTGGAAGGTGTGACTGTTACATGTTATGGTTGTGACAAAGAATGAAAAGAGGTGGAAAATGGCCAAACATAATTTTACCTGTGGCCAGATAGAAATCAGTTGTAAATATGTAAAATACTAGGCTACTTAGTAACACTGTTTTCAAGATGGACATGACAATTAGACCTAAATGGAAAAATTATTAATTTATACTAGAAAGGCATTTCTTGAGATGAATGTGTTCTTGACTCTTAAAAAAAAAAAATTACTGTACAAGCCAAATAATTGCTTTTTCTTGTAACTATCCCCTATCTTTCTATTGGAAAACAACAGTGAAACAAAGCCTTCTTTTGAGGAAGAAACTTTGGCTAGATTTGGTGTGACAGAGGCTAAATAAAAAAAGGAGAAGATCCACACGAGGTTTTTATCATCCAACTCATATACAAGATACAACAATAAAGGAAACATTTTAGTGTGATGACATTGATGTTAAAATAAAGATGGACAATGCAGGACTTTCAATCAGATAACTGAATAGCCTTCCTCTGAACATCTAAGAATGTTAGTACTATAGGTGTCCACAAAAATTATAAATTTGTGACCCACGTTCAAAATTAATATTTCACGTTATTCACTGTAACCAGTTTACCATTGAAGGAACACAAAAGGGAAAGGTAGCACATCATTACCCAGTCATAAACAATAACACATCTCTCAGCAAAGAGAGAACAAATTATTAATTTAAAATGAAATTGTTTGAGAAATTACAATGACACCACATTACTGCTCAGAAAAAGAAACTTCTCAGAATGATTCTTATTTGATTAATCTGTAAGCAATAAGAAACCAAGGCCCACAAGGATCAAAAGCAACTTTGAAATAATGAATGCCTCTACCTTGAATCACATCACATCACCACATAACAGGAAACATACTGAATAAAGGAATGTTTCCATAAAGCAAATGTTCAAGTTTGTTATGTAGTGATGTGAAGCGCTGAGGTTTTGAAGCAAATTGAGTCTCCAAGAATCAGTCATAAAGGGTATAGGGAGAAAAAGCTTCAAGTTTTGAGCAGAAAATTGGAATAATCCTGTCGAAATCTAATACAGGCATTATAACTAAATGTTAAAAATCACAGACAAAATAATGAAACATGTCGGAACTGAATAATTTATGGGCCTCGGTCGGATGTAGAAGGACGAGTTGCAGATCCACCTCCGCTGAGATTCTGCTTGGCTATTTCTTTCTCCAGTCTCTCCCTCTCACGCAGTAGAACTTGATGCTCCAGCTCCAGCATTTCTTTTTCCTGCCTCATGTTGTCTCGTTCTTCCTTCAACTTCTCAGTTTCATACAATAGCTTTTCAACCTGGATGCAAGAACGAGAATGACTACTTGTGCAGATCAGATACTTTCAAGAAGGGCCGAAAAATTGGTCTCCAACATACCTCAAGAAGCATCACATCACGTCTCAATTCAGACAGTTCACTGGCACTGCTGCTGCCCATTGTGAAGGCCTGCAAAAAATCATTGAAACATAAGGAAAATATTGTTTTGGTAGTGAATTTGAATTGGTCTTCAGCCTGTGAGAAAATAAAGAGAAAAGTCAATGAAGAAATAAAGACCAAAAACAAGCTTCTGAGGATAGTTGCCTTAAACTTCAACTGACAAGACAGTAGGTGCTTTTAACCTAAGATCCAGGAAAAAACTATGTTCAATGAAAAGTGTGATGGATTTTTTACGAAATTAAGTGAATTTTCAAGCACTTACGGCAATAACGGTTGTCAAAGGTCAAAAAGTCGTATTATGTTGCGACCAAGACAAGAAGAGTGAGGAAAATGTTAATTTCAAAGGTAAAGCAAGTACCTTAAAAAATAAACATAAGGAGACTATCGAATGTTGACATCGACTATGAATGTCGATATATCGATATACTCAGCTCAGCAAGAAAGTGAGCAGCAGGACCATAGCTAATTAAGACCAAAATTCCAGCTGGTCGGTTCAATCATAATTAGTAATGAATACAAACAAAAGATTAGCCAAAGAAATGTATGTCATCGCAGGCAATCTTTGAGCGCAAAATTTGTCATACTTTTCAAGCCACCGCTGCACTTCCGGTTCTATCTTTCCAAAGTCTGGTAACCCCCCCTCCCCCCAATCATTCAAATGTCATTCCTCAGCTGAGCGCACCTCACGACGGTGGTCCGATCGAAACAGGTGTTGAGGAGAGAAAATGTCAAGCATGGCTTCAGCGTCAATGAGGAAAGTTGTCAGCCCGAGGAACCTAGGCAGTGCCTTTAAATCTCCAAAGGTCAATCGTGCTTTAAATGCAGCTATTAAAGGCGATCTTGACTGGAGTCCCCACTCAGTTGCTTCTGTGCCTAAGAAGAATTCTCTGAGTCCTTTCGTGAGCAATGTCAGCAATGTTCTATCACCGTACTCTAACACTAGGTTTGTACTCTTTACTTATTTGAATGTTAATCGGTCTTGGGATACCTGCAATTTCTGATTTGTGCTTTAGCAAACCTCGCCCAGCATATGCCTCTTCTGTATCAAGAAAAAGCAAGAGTGCTCGGAAACTACCATGGAGTGATGGAGGAAGTAGCCCTTCACCCTTTGAGAGTGATCACTTTATAGATTCTGTCCAGCTCATTGTTTCCCCTGTCAGTCGAGTGGATAAATGTTGCCACTTTGAACCATCCGCTGACACTCCTGATAGAGCTGAATTGATCAAAATTTTCAGCCAGAAACGAAGTGGCTTGCACATCTTGGGGAAAGGTACTTTTGGTACCGTATTGGAAGCAAAGTACAAAGGTGTGTTCTGAACAAGCCTATCCACATTATGACACTCCAATTTGAGGTTGCTTATCTAATTTTTCCCTGCGCAGGTCAGAAAGTGGCAGTCAAAATTGTTCCATCAACTCCAGAGGCATGTAGGCAAGTTAAAAATGAGATGAATTGCCTAACTTTTCATCACCCAAATATTGTATCCGTTTTGAAAGTGACTCCATCTGAAGATAAGATTGCTGGAATAGTCATCATGGAGAGAATTTGTGGGTACTCCCTTCAAAAGTTTGTAGATCTTGGTTACTTAAGAGATAAGGTCAACCTGAGGTTTAGGTAAGTTAAAATTAACTTCTTTAATTTGTCATAAGTTTCAGTGTTGCATTGGGAATGAAACTTATGGTAAACAGTAGGACAGGTAAACAGTCAAAATTGTTACTTTTTTGCGGCATGTATGTAGTCTTTTTGCTTTATGTTGAATTTTAGGTATAGTATGCAAATAGGTACTGCTCTTGCCTACTGCCACAAGCAAAGAATACTGCACCTTGATGTGAAGCCCCAAAATGTTCTAGTTGATATCTTCACGGACACTTGCAAATTATGTGATTTTGGCTGCTCTTCCACGTTTGAAAAGGTGGAATTCTCTCTGCAGGTGAGAACATCATTTAATTACTATCTTCATCATCATGCTTTTACTATTGTTTCTTGTACTGGATCTTTCCTTTTTCTGTGTGTTTAGGGAACAGTAGGCTATGTTGCACCTGAAATATTACAAGGAAACAAACCCACAGCAGCTGCAGATGTCTACTCTCTGGGGATAACCATGTGGCAACTTATGTCCGGAGAAACTCCCTACAAAGAGTTGCGGGGTCATACTGTCATCTACAAGGTAGATTCATTGATACTGCGTGTTACCTTATGTTAATTTTCATGCACTGGGAACAAAATGCATCCCATTTTACGGTTCCTTCAGGTTGTTGCTGCCGAATATCGTCCTGAACTACCTGAAATCCTCTGTCCTGAAGATGGGCGATATCTCTCCCTAGTTAAGAGATGTTGGTCACAGTCTGCAGAATGTCGTCCAACAATTGAGGAGGTAACAAACGAGTTGCATCTTGAATACACTAATGGTAAGCCAGAGCATTCATGGGTTGTGTAAGTGCGCTTTGCCTTTTTCAAGATAGATTGAAAGTTTGTCTTAAGTAAAATTATTCTGTGATACTTCAATAATGTTTAACTCACTAGTCACATCATATTCTGTAGGGATAGTGTAATGAAATATCTGTACATAACTAGCAAATGAATTAGGAACAAAGAAAAATTTTACTTGTATTGTCTATGATAATGTCACTGCCAATGCACTTTTATTTTGTCAGACTGATTTAATTTACTTCATTTAAAATATCAAGCAATAAATTTTATAACTGTTACAAAGTGGTATTCATTGTCCAAAACATCAACTTTGACCAGAAAAAGTTTATTGAAACTAAGGATCAAATTGAATTGCCAGCAGGACAACTTCCCAAAAGTGAACAAAACCTTATCTTGAATTACTGTACAGGAAAAAAAATTGACCAGATATCTCAGTTGAAGAAAAAAAGTTATGAATCTGGCATTTCTCCACCTGGCACAAGCTGAAAAAGAAAAGAATTCAGATAGATACTCTAAGCAAAATAAAACTTAGATGAACTAGTCAACCCAAACATACCATGGTAATATTGTTGCCATTTAGAAGGATGTTATCTAACTTTGTTATTCTTCTTCCCTCCGGGGTTGCTTCATACTCTGTTACGTCCTCTAAAAGCATATTAACAAAGTCGTCGAATCCCAGAAGTGTTCCCACGATTTCTTTATCATTCTTCATAATGATGTGAATGCGAGATCCAATACACTTATCCACCAACTCTGAAAAGGTAAATAAAGTTTAAAGACGAGTCATTCACAGTATACAAAACACATGACAAGGACCACAGAAGAGGTTAGGAGGAACTATGGAATAAAGGAGCACTAGGACAAGAGTGGAATGTTGAGCGAAGAAAATTACAGAGGAATAAAGATGACATATGATACAATGTCAAAAAATAGATTGCATCTTTGCGTGATTTGAAACGTGGTTTAACGAAAGGCAAACATGCACACACATACCCAATGGCAGAAGAGTAGAGGGATTTGTCGTTACTGACGTCATATTTTCGGAGGAAAATGAAGAAACTCTATCGTTTTCCCTGCAGGGCTGCTTAAGGTTGGACTTAAACCACAGAAGACGAGTGAAGAATGATCTAAAGTCAAATTGAGCCGGGAAACCGGCACTCTTGATGTTGATGTTGATGAAAACAACCAATAATAACAACAACAACAACAATCCAGAGGGCGCTGCTGTTGTGTAATTCAAGTTGGCGCCAGTACGAAAAATTCCCAGCGAAAACAATGCTACATTTTCTACATTTCCTTCCATCAAATTAGGTATGTTTTCGCTGGCATGATTGTCGATCCGTGTGCTGATTGTTATCCGTGTGCGACTGTTTTCTTTGATTTTTTAATTATGTTTTCTTCTAAACCTATGATCTGTACGTATTTCAAAGAATGTACCGACTTGTGTGCAGGTTAAAGAAGCTAACTCGATATATTTTCCACTTGCCTTTTGTGTCATCTCTGTACATGACATAACAAGTAAATTTCATTTCCATTTCCTTCTTTTTTAATCTTTCGGAAATTATTTATTATTACCACTTACCGTTACTCTTGGTTTTTGGGACTGTTCAGTGACCACAACACATGTTTCCACAGTTTCCACTTGTTGAGATGATCTCCAACTTTACCTGTCCTGTTTTAGCTGAATCATTTATGGGAAAAAATGGAAGAGGATATAGACCCGTTTTTGGATGATGAAGATTCCAATGGAGTTGGCACACAGGAGGTTCAGAGTTGTAGTGTAGATGCCGAGAATAGATTCAGAGAGAACCAAACCAGCCCCATTCTTAGCTGCTCAAGTTCTGGTGTTAATTCCAGTCAAGCTGGACGCCGCAAAGGTAGAATACGTAAGTATGCTCAAATTTGTTTTTTTTTCGTTCTTTCATCGTGTCTTTTATCTACAGCATAGATATAATTTCAGGAAGATCTGGATCAACCTTCCAAAAAGACCACTTGTCCATACCTCTTGATCCTTCTGTAGAGAGTTGGAAGTAAGTTTGTTTGTTTCAATTAAGTAAGTGTCATTTTGCCATGTTCATTTTGAATAATTATCTTTTTTTTCTCACAGAGTGCCGCCATGTACACCAGTTGAAAGTCTGTTGCTTTCTCAAGACTTTCAGTCTGACTTTGTTGCACCAAAAACACCAGTACCTGTTTGCATACCTTTTAAGAGCATCTCTCCTTTCAATGATGCTCAATCAGATGATGACATTTTTGCTTCGCCAACCTGCGATGAGCAAGGAATTAACCCCAGTGCTCTAAATGCGCTATTTAATGGGCCTGAACACTCAGATTTATCTTGGTCCATGGTAACGCCTTCAGCAAACCAAGCAAGCAACACTTCGTGGTCCAATCTAAATACTGAGGAACGCAAGGTTTTATTACCTAGTGATGATTTCATTGTTAGTAGATTTTTTCATTTCATTCAGTTGCTTTTGTTTGGCTAAATTTGTTTCCTCTTTGTATTCTACAAATAATTTTTTGCTGTAGGTCAAACCCCGAGCATTGTTTTTACCTGACGCGAATGATACTGCAGATTCATGGAATATGAGCTCGGATGCAGAAGGCTTTGTTGCCTTGAAAGGACAGATGGCTAGTGAAACACCCAATTACAGGAGAAGAAAAAATTCTCTGGTATCTTCTGTGCCTGTAGAGAGTCCTCTTGCAACAAGTATTGCTGCTGAGGACAGCTGTTACGCCACTCCTGACCACAAACCTCGAAAAATCTGCCTGGAAGAAGTAGCAGGATCACCCATTCTCTCAGGCAGTAGTGAATTTTCCAAATCTTCACGGGATGAGAAAGAGGAAGAAGATTTATTCGAGAACGAAGAGGAATGTCTCGTTGACATGTTGCCTGCTGGCAAAGCGCAGGATTCTAAAATTGCTGAATCAACCCCACATGCAGGACACAAGAAAGAGACGCATGCTGATGAACTTAATAATTTAGTGACTCCTCATAAACATGACCTCAATAATGGTGAATCGTTTCTTCAAGATATTTCTGTCACTGCATTAGAAAAAGTATGTCAAGCCCAGGAGCTGATTGACCAGGCTCCTCCCTCCACTCCTGAAAAACAGTCTGAGACCAAAAGAAAACGTCTTTTATTTTCATCGAACTTAAGTGATACAAATCATTGTACAGGAACATTTAAGATTCCAGAAGCTAAACTCAAAGAAAAGGATCAAAGCTCTAACCAGGAGAAGGACAATGATAATGGTCATTGTATCCCAGATGACTCATTCATGGAACATTTGGCTGCAATGAACACCTCAATATTTTCAGATAATTTACAGCCTATCACAAAAGTGCAGTCAATCAAAACATCAGTCTCTAAAATGAAAAAGTTTTGTTATTCTGCTGACCAAAATGTTGGACATAAAATAGTTGAAGCTTTGAATACAAGTGAACCCAAGACACTAATGAAGGAAATCCTGAACTCAGTCATTGTACTTGAGACTACTGCTGCAGTGACAGTCAAATCTAAATCTGTGAAGGCAAGTGGAGATCTAGTAGTATTCTCTCAACTGCAAGAGGAAATAAGCAAAGATCTTCAGGAAGGCTCCATTGGAATTGAGGGAAATGAGTCCTCCGTACCTGCATTGGAAGAAAATGGACCCCCATCAGTCATGACTTCAATACTTTCACCTTGCCAAGGGTTTCAGACAGGAAGTGGAAAGCAGGTCGAACTGTCTGAGGAAGCCCTCTCTAAAGGATTAAGTCTATTAAAGGATTGCATGGAGGCTGTGGACACCAGACCAACAGATAAGATCAATGCTCCTAAAACATCACCCATCACTTCAAATGTCCCTGAAGCTAGTAAAGCGCAATCTACTGAGACCAATCTTAGTGATGATGTGGCTGCAGAAGAAATCAAACAGCTCTTACAGTTAGTCAGTGATGGAGAAGACTTTAACCCATGGCATGATACAGAGACCATATCCTCTCCAAAGTCCTCAAAGAAGGATAGCCTCATCTGTCCTACAAGTTCCAAGAAGTCTCAGAACAGCCCAATACAAGAGAGAGAAGGATTTTCAACTGCTGGTGGCAAAAACATTTATGTGTCAGATGAAAACCTTGCCCGGGCTGAGAAGTTGCTATTAGCACCTGAATCAGCCTCTACCAGCTCTGATGAAAATTTGATGTCCAACAAAAATCCAGTGGGTGAAAAGTGCAATGAGCATTTTGATAAAAGTGAAGGCCAATGCGAACAAAATGAGGAGATACATAGGATCCAAAGTACTAATGATGTTTCCATTAGTAGAAAGAGGCGTTTTGAGAAAGTTCCTAACATAGGCAGTTTCATTGTTCCCATGAAGAAATCCTGTCTGGGCATTGCTGACTCTCCTTCCTCTTCTAATCAGAACACAAACAATTTACTACCCAGCAATAAGTTTCAAGAAGATTTTCCCTGTGTGAGTGAGGCTAAGACTGAAACTATTGATAAACCATTAGTGAATATATCCCAAGAAGCAATGAATGTTGTGAATAACTTGATATTCAATTCTTCTAAACCAAAAGATCCTCCCTTCATGAATAGATCTGAAATGGGATTTTCTACAGCATCTGGGGGGACAATAAATGTTTCTAAAAATGCTCTGGATAAGGTGAAGAACCTGTTTGATAATCTTCCTGCTGACTTTGAGACAGAATCTTGTAAAAAAAGTTCAGTGGAATTTTCTACAAATGGTTTAAAAAGTTCTCTTGCCAACAAAGATATAAAAATTAGTTTTCCTAGCAAAACTGATTCAACTGTACCACACAATGATGTAAACCAGCCAGAAAATGTTTCTGGCCATACTGTGGAGGAATTGACAACAGCTTATGGTTTTTCAACAGCTTCTGGGAAAAAGGTTGATGTAACAGAAAAGGCTATGGAGCAGGCAAAGAATCTGTTTGACGATTTATCAGAGGCTGATTCAAAACTAGAATTAAGAACCTGTGCGCCTAAACAACGTAGATCCCTTGGAAGTTTTAGCAAGCCCAGTGCTCAATCAACAAATAAGGCCCAAACACCTGTTGCTGCTGCAGGTAGTAAATCAGCCTCATCTTCCCATGAAGAGCTGAGTAAAGTGAAAAATATGTATGATGCCATTCCAAGGAATCCTACAGGATTACAGTCAAAAGCAGGTGTGCGCAAAGTACGAAGATCTCTGGGAAGTGTTAGCAAGCATGGAGTAATACCAACAAGTAAGGCCCAAACACCTGTTCTTCCCAATATGGACATAGAGACAGAAAATGGAGGTTTCTCAAAAGCAAGTGGAAAAGCAGTGTCAGAAGAGGCAATGAAAACAGTAAAAAATATTTTTGAAGATATTTCAAATGAATTGATCCCTGTCCTTCCTTCCGCGTCTTCAAGCAATAATGTCATGGTCAAGAGGTCATCGATTGATTTGGTAGGTTTCTCAACAGCGGGAGGGAAGACTCTCCGGGTTTCAGAAGAAGCTTTGAATAAAGCCAGAAATTTGTTTGATGACCTGCCCTCTGAGTCCTCAAGCAATGACCCAAAACCTAGTACTGCTAGTGACTCCCCTGTAGACATGCCAGGTTTCTATACAGCCGGAGGAAGTGCAGTCCAGATATCTAAGGAAGCTTTAACTAAAGCAAGGACCTTGTTTGATGATCTGCCTTCTGAACCTTCAAGCAGAGGCGCAAAATCTAAAACTGCTAAGAATCCATGTGTTGCAATGACAGGTTTCTCTACGGCCGGAGGAAGTGCGGTCCAGATATCTGAGGAGGCTTTAAATAAAGCTAAGACCTTGTTTGATGATCTGCCTGCTGAGCCTTCAAGCAGAGGCGCAAAATCTAATATTGCCAAGACTCCATCTGTTGAAATGACAGGTTTCTCCACAGCAGGAGGAAGTGCAGTCCAGATATCGAAGGAGGCTTTAAATAGAGCAAAGAACTTATTTGATGACGTACCCTCTGAGTCTTTAGTTACTGATGCAAATGCCAGTGTTACTAAAAGGTCATCTGCTGATATGGCTGGTTTTTCAACAGCAGGAGGACGAGCAGTTCAGGTATCAAGTGAGGCCTTAAATAGAGCAAGAAATTTATTTGATGACCTTCCATCTGAGTCTTTAGCCATTGATGCAAAATCCCATGCTTCTGAAAAGCCAATGGTTAAAATGGCAGGGTTTTCAACAGCAGGAGGAAAGGCAGTTCAAATATCTGAAGAAGCTTTAAATAAAGCAAAGAACTTCTTTGATGACCTGCCTTCTGAGTCTTCAAGTGATGATGCAAAACTAAGTACCACTAAGAAGTCATCTGTTGACATGGCAGGTTTCTCTACAGCAGGAGGAAGTGCAATCCAAATATCTAAGGCGGCTCTAAATAAAGCAAGGAACTTATTTGATGACCTACCATCTGAGCCTCCCAACAGTGATGTAAAATCGAGCACTGCCAAGAAGCTATCAGTTGATATGGCAGGGTTTTCAACAGCAGGAGGACAGGCAGTTCAGATATCAAAAGAGGCCCTAAATAGAGCAAGAAATTTGTTCGATGACCTGCCTTCTGAGTCTTTTGAAACCAGTGCAAAATCCAGTTCTGCTAAAAAGCCAGTGGCAGGTAGTTCAACCTCAGGAGAAAGTGCTAATAAGGAAAACAATTTCCTCCACTCTTCTATTTCAAAAAACAACCCAGTTTACCATGAAATGCAAAAACCCAGTCTTACCCAGGAAATAACTGAAAGCACCGCTGCTATTTTGGCTGATGACGGCTTTGATTTGACTCGGTGTGTTGATGTATCTGAATTTTCCAGGCCCTCAATAAGCACAAGTCCTTCAATGGTAACTGACCGTTCAAGTGGTTTGAAACCTATTGTTTCCTCAGTTCCTGAAAATAAACGCAATGCAAGTGAACCATCAAGTCCCATTTTAAGTAGGAGTAATAATGGATCCCGTAAAAGATGTCGAAGAGGCAGACTTAGCCTCTCCACTAACACCAGCTCAAGAACATCACCAACCTGGGAAATCTGTCTGCATCGTCACAGGATCATCATAGAACTCGTTTATCTCTTCCATCCACAGTCTCTTCAAGTAGCTTAGCATCACTGTGTCCTACTCCTGATGCTGTTGTTGAAAGTTCAAAAGTTTTAGATAGGTCCAGTTTTAACAATGCAACTGGCGAGGCAAATACAAATGACATCAAATTAAGTTCCAAATTGCCACCATCTCGCAAATTGTTTTCTTCTGAGTCTGATCTGTCTCCAGCCAAACTCAACACCCCCAATGCTAAGATCAATTCTAATGTGCCATCTCATATTGAATGTAATGAGTCTTCTAGTGTAACACCTGATCAAAGATCTACTCCTCTTTCAAGACCATCTCATCAAAATCCATTGATAAGGAAAGCCTTGACAAAGAGTCTTACCACCCAATCATCGGGATTCAAGACTCCCTATAAAAATGACAGCAAAGAGCAAACAAAACGATCTCCATCCAGCCCATTGCAGAACCCTCCAGAGGCAAAGCGAATGAAGCCATCAACAAATCTTTATATTTCCCATGTGTTCTTGTCTACACCTGGACAAGAAAAATCAAATCCCAGAGACCTGCGACCAGAAGTTGCTGAAATGCGAAGACGAGCTGCAGAGGAGCAGAAGCAGGTTGTAGACAATTATGCCGAGCACAAAGGTGAACTTCTCCGACCTTGTATAGGAGGCTGGTTGTCTCGGAAAATTAATGAGAAATCCTGCAGGAAGTTAATGAAAATGTCTGCAATGGGAACCCCTGCTAGTTGTTCTCACAGTGAGGTAAGTGTATTGCTCCTGCTCAAAAAATTTCTGTTACAATTAGTAAGGCATCATGGATTTTATGCTTCTTATTAAATTATTATTTACAGTTATTGTCAGCTGGAGTCAGGTCTTCATCAATATATATCACACCTGCCAATGCTGCAAGTTTTCGTTTTTCCGCATGGGAGTATTACAGGTATTGCCCCAATACATTTTATAACAGTTAGAGATAGGAGATCAATTCACTCTTCTTTGTTTTCACAAACATTCTTTCTGGTTTGTGCAGTGAAGATGTGTGCCGAGAAAATGTAGCTGGCATTCCTGTCGGAGATGGAGCCCTTCTTGTACTTGATGCTCAAGGTTTCATGGGTTTAGAGGAATTCCAACGGGCTTTCCTTGCCAGTCCGGGAGTCGATCCTTCTTTAGTGCCATCTGGATGGTTTAAGAACCATTATCGTTGGCTTGTTTGGAAGTTGGCATCTTTAGAGTGTCACTTTCCTGACCAACTTGGACGACAGTAAGCTGAGCAAATTGTTACTGTGTTTGTTTAGACAATGGATTTACTGTACCTGACTTGTTTCTTTTACCTCTCTGTCACTGCAGGTGCTTTTCTCCTGATGTTCTGATGCTGCAGTTAAAATATCGCTATGATAGAGAGATTGACCGCTGTGAAAGGCCTGCTCTGCGACGTATTTTTGAGCATGATGACTCTGCAGCTAAGCGTATGGTGTTGTGTGTTTCTCAAATATTGAACGTATGTTCTGTTTCATTTTATTATTTGCTTGGTGTGTCTTTTGAGGTAGTTCAAAATCAGTTCTAATTATTAAAAATATTGTCTTTTATTAGAGGGATGATGCATCTTCCGGGCTAGAATTAGAGCTTACAGATGGATGGTATAGTGTTATAGCATCAGTTGATCAGGATATGCAGTACAGAGTGAAGAAAGGTACAATTAAAATTGGTACCAAGCTCATAATGCACAATGCAGAACTTATGAACTGCTCCGAAGGATGTTTTCCTCTCCAGGTAATGAAGACATTTTCTTCTTTGGTATTTTTATGTGAAAAAGTACACATGATAAAATACTCTAATAAATTTACCGTGCTCTCATTTTCAGGTACGAGATGATGTTAGACTGAAACTATGTAGTAATTCTACAAGACGGGCTCGTTGGTATGCCAAGTTGGGCTTTCAACATAATCCAGGTCCAATCAATGTGCCTTTAGGTTCTATTCTCAGCTCAGGTGGTCTAGTGAGCTGTGTTACAGTTTATGTTGCTAGAGTTTATCCTCTTGTCTTTATGGAGAAAACAGCAGAGAAAACTGGTATGAACTTTTTAGATTTTATGATTCTTCTTGTAAAGCAGTAGCAACAAAGTCATAGTTTTTCTAAACTTCATTAAATTTTTGGCAGTTGTGAGGTCCCAGCGTGCTGAATCAAAAGAAGTGGCTAAATGTGATAAGAAACGAGAGCAGTTGGCAGATAAAGTTTACAGCCAGGTGCAAGCTGAACTGCAGCAAGAGCAGACTAAACAGAAATGTTCTGCTAAGAAATTTGCATTGAAACATGTTGCAACCCTCACATCTGGTGAAGACTTGTCTGATATTTTAGAAAATGCATCCGACCCTCTTAGTGTTCAGGTAAAATTTTCAATGCACCATTACCACAGACAATCGTTGTCATCAAAGATGACAAATCAAATAATTTCTTGTTCCTTCTTGTTTTTTACATTTTACATAAATTTTAGAGTCTATTAACAGAGGAGCAAAAGCAAATTCTATCTAACTACCAAAGGGCCAGGCAAGATGAATTGCGTGGCGAGTTGGAGTCACGAGTCCGTTCACGGCTATCTGACGATGCCAACCAAGAGAGACAAGTTACTCCCATTTTAAAGGTAAAGTCCCTCTTAAAGAAATTATATTTTTTGGGTGTAGAGAAACATAGTTTACCTATCATGCTTTTCCATAGGTGCGTCTTTTTGATGAAGTCAATGGCAATCAAAGTGGTGCTATTCTTTCTGTCTGGAGGCCCTCTGAAGATATGACTTCAATGTTTAAAGAAGGACATAAATTGTCTATTTTTAGTGCTGTTGCAAATGGTGTGAGGTACTGTAATGTAACTATTTCTTTGTGTTGAGTGTTTTAGAATAGGTTTAATTCATTTCTTTTCATTACTGTTCAGGTGTGGAGAGTTGCAGCTATCTGCAAACAGATCAACTCGCTATAATTTTGATAACACTGCAGAAATCAATTCCAATCTAATTCGATGTGTGACTCCTTTTACATCATTGTCATTACATGGCTTTGTACCCCGCTTTGGAGAAGTTGATATTGTTGGTATTGTCATCAGAATCAGTCCTGCCCCTCAAACTGCAGAAAACCCTTCCCATTTTCAAACAGCTTATCTCAGTGACAGTCACCAGAATATTGTTGGAATTATGTTTTGGGGGGGTATGAAGGTATGTGTAATGCCATTGTTTGTGGGCTAATTTTACTGAATATCCATAATGCTTATTTTGGTTTGTTTTCTTAGGAATTTGGAATGGACGATCTGATAGTGTGTCGTTCATTTATTGCTGCTTCCAATTTGCAACGCAGAGGAAACCCTTTTGTGAAAGCTGTCCCTTGTGTGTATGCAAGTGAACTGTCTTTTTTCACAACAAATCCTAAACAGCAATATTTGAAAACTGCTCAACAAGAATTGCGTTGCTCTGTGTCAGCTGTATGTGTGCTTTTCCATCATTATCAGCATTCATATTTATCATGATATCAAATTATTATTTTTTAATCTCTTGCAGGATTTGAAAACTTTCTGCCAAGAGTGTGAAGATAAACTTGATGACTTACTTTCTCGAAAGATGTCTCCTGCAGCTGGCTCTAAAACTCCTGACTCGAAATCATCAGTCTCAAAATTAGTTGAAAGAAATGGTGTCAAAGTAAATGCACCAAATGAAAACTCTTCCTTAGTATCTGTTCAAGGCCAGCGCAAGTTATCAATGGAAGAACAGCTAAAAAGTCCGTCTGCTAGCAATATCCTTTCACCAGCTGTTGAAAGAAGGTTGGCCAGTCTTGAGAGATATGGAGATTCTGTTCCAATATCACCTATATTCATTAATCAACCTCGGCGGTCCTTGCGTCAAGACTTCAAAGCACCTCGTCGAACTGACAGTCCTTCTGTTGAGTGTAAAAGAGATTGATCTTCCTTTAATCAAGCTAACTATTTTTATCTTCATAATCATTTTTAAAAGTTGTATTTGACTGATTTGCAAAGATGCAAGAATCTAACTTTCAGATGCTGTCTTTTAATGCTGTTAATTGTACAATCAATCGGTTTGGTTTGCTTGATGAGTTTACTGTGATACTTGTGGTCAGGTATGTCTATAGTTTATTCTGTTTTTTGGGAAGCTTGTTGCCTTGTTCTTTTACCACATTGTGATGTGTCTAAAACTCACCAAGCAAGCTAAAAGAATTAATGTTATATCTATTGATTGTTTGTTTGTGAGTGGGAGTTGAAATATTTATAAAAATTAAATTCATCATTTAATATAAATTGCTAGTGTGTTCTCAGTTGTGATGATCCTCAGCCTTTTTTTACATATTTCAAATGCATAACAGGAAAAAGCCTTTATTTACATTTAAAATCTTACTTTTATTGTAATAAATGTTAAAAGTATAAATACTAATGTCCAGGAAATGGTGGCGAGGAAGCCTATATAAACACCGGGGTGATACAGACCCCACGCTCTTAAAGCTATGTTCCGCAAGGACAACGTTGCGGTGGTCATGGGCAAAATAGTTGCAATGGGTTTCAGCAGTAGGTACATCCCCTCCAGAGGCCACAGCATACCTATGGAAAAGTAACAGTGAGAAAACTGAGACTGGAAGCCTGGAAGAGGACTTTGTGGGAAGAAACTTTTATACACACAACTTACTGCTCAAAAACATCAATGTGAAGTATGTGCCCACACCCATTAAAGAGGCGGCTGTGGTGGAGTCGAAAATGACGGCCGTCAGCAGACCTAAAAGAAAAGGTGGAGGAAAGTTACAGTCAAAACGTGAGCACGGCACGGAAGTCGAGGCTTCGTGATCTGCGAGGCGCCTGTGGGCAGGCAACCCTTCTGCCACTCGGCCACGGGCCACGTGGGTTGCCTACCCGGTAGGCGCCCCGCCTGATTGGTGCAGCTACTCACCGTACCACATGCCGCAAACGCCCTGCGCCAGGCACAGCAGCGCGTAGGTCAGGGCGGGCCCCATCAGGGGGTTGGCGAACAGGGCGAAGCACACGACCAGCACGAGGGTGATCTGTGCGGCTATCATGAGGAGCTGTGCCGCGAACTGCGCCAGCAGCACCTCGCCCATGTGGACGCCTGCAACACGAAGCGAGCCAAATTCGGTTACCAACGGGTGCGTCGCGTCGGCCTCTTCCGAGCGGGATTTGAATAATCCGGGGGACTGTACCGTAAACCAGCGACCGCTCCAGCAGCTTGTCCGTCTTCTCCGGCAGCAGGGCGGACATGGTGGTCGTGAAGCCGAACATGAACACGATGCTGCAACACGACAGGAGGGCGAGTCCGCGTGTCGGACCAGTGAAGGTTCATGTCAGAGCCAAGCCAAGCCGAAGCGAGATCGTAGACTCGCGACTCACCTGAGAATGAGCCCGGACAGCGAGGTGTCCAGGAACGTGGGGTCTTCGTCCGTGACGCGCAGCTCGTTGTGGAACTAGGGAAGGGAGGGAAAAGGAACGCCTATTAGTCGGAGGAGTGGCTGACATTTGGAGCGAGATTTTCGGTTTGTAGGTCCGAGGAACGGAGCGTCGCTCATGGCCGTGGTAGCCTTGGGCCTTTACCTGCAGGGGCGGCCGGATCATGTGGGCGTTGAGGTTGCACTGGTTGTTGAACGCCTCGAGGGCCTTCGCGGTGACGGAGCTCAGCCTCTGCTGCAGCAGGTGCCCAATCGTTTGAACTGTTACAGAAATGGAATGTTTTTAGGACCACCGTTGAATGACTATTAGTACGCATGTTCCGGCATTGACTCACGTGACATGTCCAGCTTGACGTTGAGCGCAGAGGCCTCCAGGATGCTGTTGACGCGCGCGAGCTCCGCCATGTCCGGAGTGTTCTCCAAGTTGATGGTCATGGCCGCGCGCTCCACCAACGAGTCCGAGAAGTTGCTGGCGAAGTGCACCACGCCCCACATGCGGCCCTTGACCACGGCGCTGGCGGCTGCGTCCTCCTCGGGGAACACGACCTGGTTCAAGGTGAAATTGGAATCAAGAGCCACGCGTCGCGCGTCGCGTGAAATGACGGGACCCGGAAAAGCGCGAGGCGCGCGAGGACTGGCGTGCCGACTGGCGGACACGGGCGGGGCGGGGAGGCGGGGGACTCACCGGCCGCAAGGACGACGCCTTCATCTCGTCCACGAAGATGCAGCTCAGCCCCCTGGGCGCGCTGCAGTTCAAGCGGCTCAGCCCCGGCCAGGCCCCGCAGTCCACCTCGTGGTTCACGACGGCCAGGTGCAGGTCGCGCGGAGTGCCGCCCACGCCGCCGTTGTACACCAGGGCGATGAAGGCCGGCAGGAAGGTGAATGCGAGCGCGATGCTGCAGAGCAGAGGAGCGAGGCGAGGTCAGCGGGCGCTTCAAAGAAGGGAGCACGACACACCACCGCAGCAGGACTCACATTTTGTGCCGCCACAACCACATCACGTTCTTCCACAGCAAGGCCTTCATCCTGCTGCCGCTCCGGGACGTCCGCATCTCCACCTTGGCGGCCCTGATGCCCTCCTCCGCGTCCTGCGCCGCGCCGTCCTTCGCGGCCTTGGGGTCGTCCTCGGAGCCGTCCCTGGGGGCGTCCACCTCGTGCGCCATGCGCGTGCCGCTGGCCTTGAGTGCCTGTCGGGAGCGAGCCGTCAGTACGAGAAAAGTTGCTTGTCAAAACAAAAAAGTAGTTGGCGCCAGCTTTTGGATTTGAATGATAATTGCATCGCTGGACGCGCGTCGCTTCAGCCCCGCACTCACCCTCTGGAAATGGTCGCCGTCGGGGTCGTTGGAGTCCTGGGCGAGGCACAGCTTGAGCAGCACGTCCTCCAGGGTGGAGCAGGACAGGGCGGCCAGGAGGTGGTCGGGCGTGTCCTCGGCCAGCAGCGCCCCGCGCCGCATCAGCCCCACCTGTGGGCAGAGTGTTCACGTGTACGCCGTGGCTGAGAGGGCTCGTATAAACGCGACCAAACTTTTTTCCAGAGGCATACTGTTTTACGCCTGGCTACTGTTCGAACGGCGCGCTACACTCGCGTTGCACCAGAGCCAGGGCAGCCGGGGCCCTGGGCTGCCGGTCGTGAAGCAACCCGCCGTGCTGCGCGAAGGCGGCCCAGAGCCCCCACGGCCCCCACGGCCGTTGCTCCGCGCTGCGCTCTGCGCGGCGGGTTGCCCCACAGCGCCTGCGGGCGGCGGCCTGGCTTCGGCGGCCGGGCCCGGCGCGACGGGCAGGTTGCAGGGACAGGCGCTCGGCCGCCTCTCGCGCGCTCAACTCACCACGTGCGCCTGCCGCGCCTCCTCGATGTAGTGCGTGGTGATGATGACGGTGGTCCGACCGCACGCCGTCAGGTGCAGGAGGTGGTCCCAAATGCTGCCGAAGGCCAAAGGCAAAAGGTCAGGTAGGTGCTGGAAATGCCGGCAATGCCCAAACCGAACACCCGCATGTCCGCAATCGAATGAGGAGCAGGTTTTCGCTTCGATGAATTCAAAATGTGTGAGAGAAATGAAAACACCAAGCCCGATCAGCCAATCAAAATAAAATGATTGTCACCGATCTTTACCGATGCGAACGGCCGCTAGGGGAACGCCCTCGGGGACCAACCTCTGTCGGACGATGGAGTCCACGCCGACGGTAGGCTCGTCCAGGATGAGCAGAGGTGGTTGGTGGAGCAGCGCCACGGCCAGGGAGACGCGCCTCTGCTGACCGCCACTGGAAAGGAAAAACACCGAGGCATTTGCGAAAATGAGTCAGGAGCGGGGCGCGTGGGAACGCCTGCGCCGAACGGCCGAGCACTCATGGGGCTCGAGACGTGAGGCTGGCGGGGCGGGGCGGGGCTGGGCGCACCTCAGGTTGCACACCAGCCGGTGCTCGCTGGGCAGGTCGAGCAGCTTGAGCAGAATGGCCCTCTGCTTCTCGATGCTGGCGTTGGACATCCCGGCCAGCCAGCCGAAGTAGTTGAGCGTCTCTCGGATGGTGAAGCCGTCGGGCACAGCGAGTTCCTGCGGCAATTCATTCAGACAGGCGGTGAAGCAACCATAGTGGCGGCTGGGCTGCCGGCGTCAGAAAGTTGACACGGAATCCGAATGGTCGTGACCTTGGGGTCCGGTCCGCCAGGACGGCCAGGCCGCCGGGTGGCTTACCTGGGGCATGTAGCCGAGGGAGGGCCCGGGGATGCCGATGCCCGGCGTGCGCGGCTCCTTGCCGAACACGCTCACCGAGCCGGAGGTGAGCTTGTGCTGGCCCACCATGGCGCGCAGCACGGTGGTCTTGCCGCAGCCGCTCGCGCCCAGCAGCGCGTATCTGCGATGCACATCGCGCGGGTCAAAGGTTGCAAGTCATTCAGATGGCATTTCCCTTCCGAGGATAAATGCTGGCCGGCGACCGTACTGGAACCGTTTTGTCTCCCGTTTATTGTTGTCGTGTTTTAAATGTGAGCCCAGACAGGCGGATCGCTAAGTTTCCGCATAAGCCAATGATTTGGTCGTCGTGTTTGATTTCTTTCGTGAGTTGCTTGCCAACTGCGGTGTTTACCACACCGGAGATAAAAAAAAACAATCCGCGCGGAGAAATAAGAAGAGAAAGAGAAAGAAAGTTTTGATAGTCTATGCAAATATTGACAGTCGTTCCGAAAACTACAGAGTGAATGTATTTTTCACCCTTCCCATAGTGTGTATGGGCCCCCAGACCAGTGGTTCTCAACCTTAGGGTCGCGACCCCAAGTGGGGTCGCGAAAAAATTTTAAGGGGTCGCGGCGAGGTAGCTGGGGTCGTGTTTTGGGCCGATTTTAAGCAGCCACTGCGTCTGATCCGAGGCGGGCATTTTGCTCCCTCAACGGGCAATTGGTCTTTGAACCTTCCTTTAGCATGCCTTTGTTACGGAGTGTGATTATCAGTCTTAGTTTGGGAGCAGTATTGTCTCAAAGTTTACCAAAACGGTCAGAAATGTCTTTGAAAGATCGTGTTTTGGGCCGATTTTAAGCAGCCACTGCGTCTGACCCGAGGCGGTATTTCGTCCTCCTTCAACGGGCAATTGGTCTTTGGACCTTCCTTTAGCATGCCTTTGTTACGGAGTGTGATTATCAGTCTTAGTTTGGGAGCAGTATTGTCTCAAAGTTGGCCGAAACGCTCAGAAATGTCTTTGAAAAACCGTTGTGACTGTTTTGGTCAACTTTGAGACAATACTGCTCCCAAACTAAGACTGATAATCGCATTCCGTAACAGAGGCATGCTAAAGGAAGGTCCAAAGAACAATTGCCCGTTGAGGGAGCAAAATGCCCGGCTCGGATCAGACGCAGTGGCTGCTTAAAATCGACCCAAAACATGATTTTTCAAAGACATTTTTGAGCGTTTTGGCCAACTTTGAGACAATACTGCCCCCAAACTAAGACTGATAATCGCACTCCGTAACAGAGGCATGCTAAAGGAAAGTCCAAAGACCATTTGCCCGTTGAGGGAGCAAAATGCCCGGCTCGGATCAGACGCAGTGGCTGCTTAAAATCGACCCAAAACATGATTTTTCAAAGACATTTTTGAGCGTTTTGGCCAACTTTGAGACAATACTGCCCCCAAACTAAGACTGATAATCGCACTCCGTAACAGAGGCATGCTAAAGGAAAGTCCAAAGACCAATTGCCCGTTGAGGGAGCAAAATGCCCGCCGGATCAGACGCAGTGGCATGCTAAAGGAGGGGTCCCGTGGGGTCGTGAAACTTTTCCTGGGGGTCGCGGAAATTTTTGGCTACAAATTTGGGGTCGCGAGCCGAGAAAGGTTGAGAACCGCTGCCCCAGACTGTCTCAGCTGTCTCATCTTGACTAATTGACTAGTTCATTTTGAAGCTTCAAGTCACGGGCACGTTGCAGACACCTGGCCATCCACGTGCTGAGATAAAGGAGGACAACTAACAGGACACCCAAGCCTCTCACACTGGGTTTTCCCCCTCAGGTCCGCATCGTCAGGCCGATTTAGTGGTGTGTCCGCGACGTGCCACTGGCAGACAAACCGGATGATTCACCCGGACATAGTCCCATCCGACGGTCAGGGCGTGGGTTGTGCGGAGTAGGGGATTCAAGTTGCCCTTTGAAGTACTCACATGCTGCCCTTTGAAGTACTCACATGCTGCCCTGGCGCACCGTCATGTTGAAGTCGCTGAGCACTTGGTGCGACGACGGCTTGCCGGTGAGAATGTCGTTGAGGCTGTAGTTGACGTAGGTGTGGTGGCCCTGGCGCACGCTGACGGCCACGTCGGCGCCCGCACGCGCCACGGCGCCCATCGGGAACATGAGCACGGCCTCCTTGCCGTCATCGCCGAGGCGCGCGCCGCCGGGGCCGCCGGGACTACCCCGCGACCACGAGCCGCTGGGCGACGGCGTCGACGCCGGGGTGACGTAGCCTGGACTCCAGGGGTCCACCGTATCGATGTCGTCCACGGCCATGGTGAAGCCTGCGGCAAAGTCGAGGTGGTGAGGCGAGAAGTCATGACTTGTCCGCAGACAAGCGAGTTGACCGAATATCTTGGTCGTGGTTTGGCTGGCCGCCGCCTCGCCGCATCCGGGACGCGGACGGGGCCGAGGTCTCGGACCACGCCGTGTTCTTGGGGCCGTCTGGTACGCTGGGTGGGAGCGCTTTCCGAATCGCGGCATCGCGGCGCGGTTTGTTGCCGCAACGGCCGAGGGCTGCACCACACCGCGCAGCACCGCGCAGCACCGCGCAGCCTCCGGTGTCAAGTCCACCCTCTGCCCGCCCCGCCCCGCCCCGCCCCGCCCCGCCCCGCAGCGCCTCAAGGTTGCCGGTAGCCATCAGGAACCGCGCCGGTGGACTCAGCCCGTCGTTGCGAACCAGCCCCAGCCCGCCAGCGGCCTGACCCAATTTTCGAACGTGAATATGTGTGCGTGTCGGTGTGTGTCGGTGTCGCGTATTGTCCCGCTGCATACGCCATACGCCCTCCGCGTGCAGCGCCGCAGCGGCGTGGGGGTGGCGCGTTGCGCAACCGCCGGCAACCGCCCTGCAGGCAGGCCGAAGGTGCCGAAGGCAGGCCTGATTCCGCACAGTGTGCCCGTCGGTCTATCTCTCTCCCACCGGTATGGAGCGCCCCATGAGTGCGAGAGAGAGAGAGACCTCCAACTCGGAATCAGCTTCAGGCCGCGGCCGCGCCCAGAGCTGTCCAGAGAGGCCGCGCTGACGCTGATGCGCTGTCCGCGGTCCAGCTGAGCGGCATGCGCGGCGGCGGTGGCGCGGAGGAACCAGCAGGCCGATTCCGAGCTGCGCTCTCGCTGTCTCTCTCGCACTCGTGGGGCGGCCCGGAACGGCCCGTAAGGGCGCGAGAGAGACAGCGACGAAAGCGGTGCTCGGAATCGGACAGCCGGGGGAACCAGCTACCGGCCTGCCGGCCCGCCCGGCTGGAAGGCGAGGCGCTGGGAGGGGGCGGGGGGCGGCGCTCAATGAGTGTGAGAAAGACAGACAGAGCCCATCCAGCGGCTTGCGCCACCGCCACCGCACCAGATACATTGATGTCAACACGCGCCGAGTGCCCGCGGACTCACGGACTCTCGGGAGGAAGGAGGGGCCCGCTGCCCGCGCCCGCTGCCCCGGCGTCCGCGTCCTGGACCAGCCCGCGGCGAAGCACAGTGGGCCAGAAGACCGGTGGAGGCGGCCAAAATTCTAGGCTCGTTTTGAGCTCCAGAGTCGCTAACTAGGACTCGAATCGAGCGTGTGACCCCACCAATAGATTGCTCTCCGAACGAGCAATCCATTGGTGGGGTCACACGTTCGGTTCGAGCCCCATTCAGCGAATCTGGAGCTCAAAACGCGTCTAGAGTTTTGGGGTTTTGGCCGCATCCTGCGGTCTTCTGGCCCACTGTGCGAATCTTCTGGCCCACTGTGCGAAGGCGGCGAAGGCTGCGCCGTCCGACTTTGGCGCGGCGCCTCCGCGAAACAGCCGCGCCGTTTTTTTTTTCAGCAGCAACAGCAGCGTGATGCCGCGCAACGCTGCGCCCCGCGGAGGAGGCCGAGCACGGCGACGCAGAGGACCCACGTTTTCGACTGCTCCACACCGACCCACCCGCGCAGTGTTGCGGCAGGCCGAGGCAGGCGGGTTGCCGGTGAAGGGAAGGGGCATGGTGCTTGGTGCTCGGGGCCCTGCCGGCCTGCCGGTTTCGGTCCGGTTGTAGAACCTTCCCTCCCTTCCCCCACCTCGCCCTGCAGCGTCCAGCCAGCGTCCAGCAGCTCAGCAGCAGGCCTGTACCACTTCCCTGCTCCACATCACACCGCCGCGCCGCGGAGCGGCCAATGGTCCGCGCCATTTCCTCTTCTCTCTGTCTGTCTCTCTCTGTCTGGCATGATTGGAACACAAACTTGGCAGCGGGCTATATTTGTTCGGAAACGCGCCTTCGGCCTCTTGGTAAGGGATCGCTCCCGTTCCGCAATCCACGCGGCCATTTGAGACTGCGTCAGACCACCCACAACACACCCAGCCCAGCCTAGTTATCGCGTGAAAACAGAGGAGGAGCGATTGCTTGAATGGCTGCCTACCTCCTGGAAGCCGCGGCTAATTGGTCTGAGACTGGGAGGAGGAGGTGGGAGGGGGGGGGAGTAGCGACAATTGTTTTGCAGTGACGAGGAGACGGGAGGCAGGAGGTGAAGTAAGTGAAGCCGGCGAGGGCCGAGACCGCCGAGACCGCCGAGACTCCGTGGCTATGCGGCAGCTCGTTGTCGCACTGCTCGCTGATTCCGCACATTTGCTGTCGGCGCTCTGTCTCTTTCGCACTCGCAGTGGGGTGGGGTGTCCCGCAGAGGAGCGAGGGAGACGCAGTGACGACGCGCCGTGCGGAATGGGCCTGCCGCTGCGCGATGATTGGTCCGCGATGCGACGGCGCGACAGAGACACGCGATTTCCCGCCGAGCACGCGCCAATTACACGCCGGCCTTTCCGATCCCGCACGCCGTCTCTCTCGCACCTCTACGGGCCGCCGCACGAGTGCGAGGGAGACGGAGCGACGACGGTGTGCTCAAGCTTTACAACCGCCACCTAATTACCTCATGTCTAGTGCGACAGAGTGCGCGACCGATATGGCAGGACATCTTTCTCACTCAGCAGGACGCGAACGGCAGCCAACTGGAAGACGAAACCGCGAGCGGAGACTCTGGCCGGCAATGAGAAAAGCAATTGCGCGGTGCGCTGCCCGGCGCTGCCCGGCGCTGCCCGCAGATCGCGATGGTCCCCGTGGCCGCCATCGGCCGCCATCGGGCTGGGCTTGGCTCTGCCAGGCTTCGCAAGGCTTGGCCCGAAGGTGGTTCACTGGTCTTCTCCCTCGGCCGTTGCCGTTGTCGCTTCCGGGCTGCCAGTGTGCCAGTGCTGGAACGCTTCGGCGATACTCCTCGTCTGCTTTTCAGGCCCAAGCAAAGATTGTCTGGAATCGCGCGGAAGGAGTGGAGGACACCCGCCGGGCGACAACAAAACTCCAGGCGACGGCCGGTCTGCCGTTCTGGCCCGCTGCGCAGGAAGCCGTCCCGTCACCTTCTGGTGCTCGCGGTGACCGCAGCCAGGCAGGCAGGCAGGCAGGGCAGGCAGGCAGGCAGGCAGGCAGGCAGGCAGGCAGGCAGGCAGGCAGGCAGGCTGCGCCATTTAGATGCAGCGTGGGCGGGACGGGCACCGTGGCGCCGAGCAAAATGCTGTGGGTTTCGCGCACTACAGGGGCCCACCATCAGCGGGCCGCTCCCGAATCGGCGGTTCGCCTCGCTCTGTCCCTCTCGCACCCCTCCGCAACGCCACACCAGTGCGAGAGAGACACGTCGGCGAACGAGGCGCGGAGCGCAATCAATCTGCCGCTACCGGTTAACCCGGGACGCCGGGATGGCAGGTGAATTATAAGAGCAAAGCGGAGCTGGCGGAGAGGAACGCGCGTGCAACTTTGTGGCGGTTTGTTGCTTGGACTCGATACTCCGTCATCGCGTCGGATGCCTCGCCTCGGAACCGGCCGCGCCAAGTGTCTTGTCGCGTGGACAGGACCACACGGAAAACATACCGAACCCGCCGAATGGCACGGCGCACTGTCCGCGAGTGTGTCTCACGCGCTCTTGAGAGTACATCGTTTGCTTCCCTTACTAATTATTCCGGGACTGTGTTTGACTTGGAGCGAAACCCGGAACACGGCGAGGAAGAGGCTCATCTTTGGGGAGCTGGCCTCTCAGTGAAAACGAAAACGTGCCATTTCGAGCGTGTGCTCCCGAAGGTAGAATAATTTCGGTGCGCATAATTGGGATGGAATCGTACAGAAACTTTTGATGAGGGCCTAGAAAGAAGGAAAGAAGAAAAGAAGAAAAAAGGACGCGTCTTCTTGCGAGCGGGATAAAAATAAACGAGCGTTGTTGTTGTTGATGTCGAAAATACTAGAATACGCAACGTTAATACGGCTTATTATGGCTGAGGCTGTTTCCGAAGCAGGAGTGGTCTTCTCCCTTCAGTGACCGAGCCCGACACGGCCTAACCGCCAAAACAACAAACCGGCGCAAACCAGCGAACCAGCGCGACTGGTAAACACACCAGGCCGCGGGCATATTCCACGCGAATGTTCCAGTGACCTCGCACCGCGACTCGCACTTTCTCATGAGACCTTTGCACCTGGCGGTGGTCTGGTCCGCGTCTGGTCCGATAGAAGAATCTCCCAACAAAACAACGACGCGTCGCGGGGAGGAGAGGGTCTTGGTGGGGACTAGAGAGACCAAACGAGCGGACTTGGCTGTCCGTTTGTCCGGAAACAAACGAAGGTGCGAGCTTCGGCTCGTTCGGCTCCGTTTCGTGCCGAGCCGGGCGGGCGGACACGGCAAAGCTCGCCAGGCTCGGACGCCGAAGCGACCCGAAGAGCGGCCGACGGGTCGCTCGGAGCCGAACGACAGCCGCTAGATTGAACCTTTGACTACCAGAGGGCAGCACCTGTCGGGATGGTTTGTGACAGCTGCTGGGCGAGGGGTGAGGCGGGGGTCTCTATTGGACTGCTTCCGAAAAAAGCGGGTGTCGATCCGGAAACAGAGGTTTCAACGAGCGTTCGGTGACGAGTTCGGGTATCTTCGGCAGCCGAAAAATGCTTCGGCTCGCAACACATGCCGAAAGCCGCCGACAGCAGTGTCCGCTCATTTGGTCTCTCTAGTGGGGACCGGAGCGAGGAGCGAGCGCCTGCGGATGTTGGGGTAGGCCCGCCCGCAACGCGGAGCTGTCGTGCGGAGCGGCATCCAGCACTTCGCAGGCGCTAGGGCAGGGCTCGGCGGAGGGCTCCAACACGCCCCCAAGGGCCCCCAGAGAACGGATCTACAAGACCAACCCAGAGCGCGACGCCCGGCAGGCCGTCAGGCCGGCAGGCCAAATTCGCGCCTCTTGCCCGCCCCCATCAACAAATTACTGTTACTCTGCCCCCCCTCTTTTTTCGGGGCATGTTTGGGCCCACAGCAACAACAGGTACGCCCCGCACATTGCGGAGAAGGTACTCCCTCGGCGACTCGAATCTCGAGGGACGAGCTGGGCCGCCGGACCGCTGGACTCGGACCGGTTTCGACTCCGACAGACAAAGCACCAAGCAAGGCGAAGCAAGGCGCGCCGGGCGCCACGAGGTGTGCGCAGTGCGGACGCGTGGCCGCCCCTGTCTGCCATTCGGCCCATTCGGCCCATTCGGCCCAGCGCCCTGTCTCTCTCGCGCACCCATGGCGTGTCCTGCCCCGCGGGGGTGCGAGAGAGACAGCGGCGACACGTTGCCCGGAATCAGTTGTCTCATACGGGGACCAAAGCCGGTCGCCGAACAGCGGGACGGACGCCAGATTGCGACGGGGGCCGCGGTCACAAGGACGCGGCGACGCGGCGACGCGGCGACGCGGCGACACACCGACCGGGCGGCAAGATCAGGGCCAGCGGCAGCAGGCAGTGGACCGCCAGGCCGCCAGGCAGAGGCGGCACACCAAACCGCGGTGGAGTTTCGGCCGGGCCGCACACCGCCCCGAAACGACCAAGCGGTCCGCCAATGGCACCAATCGCGCGTCCGCGTCCACGCCGATGGCCCCGCTATGGCCGCTGTGGCCCGCTGGGGTCGGCTGGGGTGATGTCACACTCGCATTCGCGAGGTGCGGGGTGCGGGACTTGGGCGGCGAGCGGCAAGGCGAAGGCCACGAGGAAACGCCACGCCGCCGCTGACGCCGACGCGTCCTGCGAGTCCTGCACCCCCCGAGGATGCAGGCCGCCACGGCGGAGCTGGTGGAGCGCGCTGCCGCGGAGTGACGAGCGTCGCCTTAACGACGCCATCACCGCCATCATGACGGTCATGACGGTCATGATGGCGAACCGCAATAAGCAGCCGACGGATTCACAACAGTGGTTTCTGCGAGAGAGACAGCAGACAGAGCGCGTGCAGAGCCTGGCTGCTGCGCGGCGGCGTGGCGCGGCGTGGCTGGCTCGGTGGCGGGGGCTTCACCTGCGGGTCACCACCGCGTCGCCGACCGTCGCCGACGCGCATCATCATCATCATCGCCTCGTCGAGGAAGCCCCGTCTGGTTGTGTGCCGGGGTTTTTCCACTCTCGCCGTGTGCACCTCCCTCTCGCTCCCTCTCGATCCCTTCACGCGGTCCTTGCTCCGCCACTGTAGCCAGCGATGCATTCTTGCGCGCGCGCGCGCGCGCGTGTGTGTGTTTGTGCGTGTGTGTGCGCATGTTAGGTAATCCCGTGGATGGACGCGCGGCGGTCGCTCCAGGTGCAGGTCCTTCCCCCGCGAGGCGAGGCCCTGTCTGCTGCCATCCACTTCCTCGGACCTTGAGGGTCCAGCCTCGTCCTTGGATCAGACGGGCCTAGGCAGGCCAAGGACACGAAGGCCGAGCGGCGGCACTGCGCAGGCACTATGCGCAGGCACTATGCGCAGGCACTATGCGACCAGCTCGTACAATTAACGAATCAAGTTGTCTTTCTCATCCGTCTCACTCGCCCATCCCAGTGCAGCACCTCATCAACCCATGAATGCGGTTACCGGGCCCGCTTCAAGATGCACATCTACCAGCATGGAGTCCGGAATGCACCGGGCCCGCTTCAAGACATCAAGTCACACATCATCAGTCAGAGTCGCGTAGAACAGCGAGTCCGGCGATCGTTTGCATGATGAGATGAGGTTTTGACCTTTTGGCGGTGTTGTTATTAGTAAACAGGAAAGCTTTTTGCTCTCGCTAATCTAGCCGAAGGGACTCAATCTCACTGCGAAACATTTAGTGCTGGTTGCCGGCCAGCCAGATAAGGTGACTACTTTCGCCCACCCTACTATCATTTCGGTTCGAAACCGGCGCTGTTTTAGAGGTCCAGGAGGCACTCCCACCCCTACAGCCTACAATTTTCATAACTGTACACTCCTTCACTGTGCACAGACGCCAAACAAATAATCACGTACAGAAGCAAGGGAGACTGCGCATGCCAGTGTAGCAGTGGGATAAGGATGGGCAAAAAGTTGTCTGCACTGGTTTGGCACTGGTCAGGCATCGGCTGGCCGAAGCCGAGCACTGCTTTCGTCTCGTCGCAGTCTCTCTCGCTCTCTTGGCCCCGTGAGTGCGAGAGGGACAGAGCGGCGAGATCGGCGCTCGGAATGAGCCTGTTGGAGTGCGAGCCGTGCGAGCGAGCAGCACCACGGGGATGCAGTGACCTCACTGTCATGCCAGGCGCAGCGCGCAGCCCGGCGCAGCCGCAGCCAGGCGGCGGACTGCAACAAAAGCAAGTCCTGCACATGGGGATTCCCGCCTGCGCTTCCTGCTACACCGGCCGAGGGCTGAGGCTGAACCGGCTTGGCGGGCTTGGCTTCGTCCAGATTCAGCTTCACCATGCTTCGCCCCACTTCACCCTAGCTTCGCCATGCTTCACCCCACTTCACCCTAGCTTCGCCCTGCTTCGCCCCGCTTCACCCTCTACGCGATGCTCTTTTGTCGTTCGGCGGCCGAGTGTCGTTCGCATTGTTGTCCGTGAGTCACCGCGAGTCCCCCATTCCCTCCCGCCGCGATTCCGGATCGCTTGTACTCATCGGTCACAAGATGCTCTCAATGCGTTTTTCGTGGTGGACAAAGTCAGTGCTCGGGCGCACGGAGTCACTCCTTTTGAGGCTGACTACTCCTGAACCGGCGAGCAACCAGTGCAGGGCCGGGCCGCCGCCGCACGCTACTCACCTGGACTGGGGGTGCTGGCCGTGCTGGCGGGCCGGGTAGGGTGGCGCCGGGTCGCCCTTAACGAGACGGCCAGCCGACGGCAGTCCAGGCCGATCCTGCTGGAGTCGATGAAGAGCGAGCCGCACGCGCGCGATGTGTCAGCAGAGCCTCGCCAACTCGCAACATAGCAGCAGCAGCGCCGCGCCGGGGAAGGACCGAGGACCAGCCTCCAGCACTGCTCTCCGGGCTGGCGGGGAGCTTTGGGCTGTTCGCGGGGGCTTCGTCTTCGTCACGGAGACTGCGAGTGAGTACACGCCGCAAAGGAGACCCCTGACACTTGTCTGGCAGGGCTTCTCCGCTTGCGCTCGACGAGCTCGCCTCTCGATTCGCTGGCTTGACCCGCGCCTCGCGTCTGCCTTGGACCGCGTCCGCTCTGGTCCACGCACTCGACTTGGACTGTCAGTGGCAAGAGTCCGAGCAGAACGGGAGCGACCCGGCACGGCACCGCCCGCCCTGCCCACCTGCCCCGCCCCAGGTCCACGCCGTCCCCCCTCGAAGCCCGCTCCCTCGCGTCCCGTCCCCTGCCGTTGCGGCGGCGCGGCGCTGCGCGGGGCTGCGGGGGGCGCGGAGGGCTGGGACCGTGGGTGCGGTGCGAAGCGCGGCGCACGCCAAGCGAGAACAAAGCCGGCCAGTTTAATTTGGCGGTTCAATCGAACTTGAACCGCGCATTTTACTGAGATTCTCTTCTTGTGATGACTACCTTCCCCACACCTCTTACACCACTCTTCCAAATCCCTGAATTTTGTCAAGTTAAAGCTAACAGGTACATCAAAAAGAAACACAAAACAGAAATGGAAGAAAATATTTTATTTTCTGTATTTGATGTAACGCAATACATATCAGATCAAGAGGCAAAAATATAATGAACTCTTTTTGTGGACAGAAGAGGAAAGATATTGTCTTTATATTGGCCTCAAAGTAAAGAAAGACATATTCAACTTACAAAGAGCAAAATCATGTGGACAGGACAGTGGATATCAATTGATGGCCCAGTTAGAGAAATTCTAAAACTACGTACTCTTACTCTTAAAGAATGAAGCACCATAAAAACCACTTAGAAGGAATATAAAAAGCGATAGTATTTGAAAGAAGTCAATCACAAATACCAGTTGCATTTCTAAGCCATCAGACAGCTTATCATATAACATGTCATTTGTGGCATAAAAGACTCATTTTACATATGTAACACCAAAGGAAGATCTGTGGCAGGCAGTGTTTCCAAATAATAATAATAATAATAATGATCATCATCATCATCAAAAACAGTGCACTTTACAAACAAAAACAAATGATCAAAAAGGCTCATTTATTAATTTTAAAACTTCCACACCAACCACAGCTTTCCTTTTGTCCTAAATGTACATAACAGAGCATAATCATTTTAATCTAATAACAAAGATTACCCTGTAAGATATTTTACTCCAATAAGAGCATAAATGATATGTTGGCCCCACAATAACCTAAAGAAACAGAAAACAGGAATTTAAATGAAAAAGCTGTTGCACTTTCACACAAATGCCCCTGTTTTCCTTTTGAACAAAATACATCTTACCAGATTCAGTAGAGACCGAATTTTTTCGGCTTCTACAACTTATTACGTACAAACAGTGTCTACAGACATATTTCTTACTTACTTTTTAGAATAATGGTAACTACATTTCATTCAGTTTATATTCCACAACCCCATAGAATTTGGAAAACTAAATTTGTGATCTTCAACAGGAAAAAAAGAAGTATACCTGATGTGGTTAGTCATGGCAACAGAAATACATCATTAAGATTTTGCAATTTTAGGTTCAGTGTTCAACACCTAATCAACAAATTGCATTAAAATCACAAGAAAAGAGACTCAGAACCACAAAATGAAAGCTTCTAACAGTACAGTAATTAAAGCTATACCAAAAAGTTGATAATGACCAATTTGACAGTGGTACACACAGAAAATAATTTAATATATGAGATAAAATTTGATAAGATACATGGAACTTAAAATACTGAATACATGGAAATACACAGATCATATTTGACCAAACTACTAAGTTTCTCAGATCTTCAGCCTCTTGTTTTCAGCATTTGTGCTTTTTGGAGCACTGATTGTTGGCACTGTAATGGAGAACATAACTTGAGAGAGCAACAAGAATTTTATGGATGATGAGCCATGAGAAAATAGCATATTCACATTTGGAATCCTTTACACTCTAGCTCAATAACTCATGATCAAATCATATTCACAAGAGAAAATAAAGATGCGCACCTCGGTGTTTAGTCATGGTGGCAGAAATTATTCACTTCAGATTTCTCAAACATACAGTGCTAAGCATGCACAAAAACACACTACTTGATGGCCTGGAAATTTTTCTCAAAGAACTCACATGATTCTTGGAATGCCAGAATCTGAGCAACTCCCCCTCTAAATTACAACTTAATTTGAAAATTAATGACAGTGCTCTGTGACATCCACAACAACAGGTTTCTTCCAGCCGAACATAAAATATCCCAAAGCAGCACCGAACACTACAGATAGACACAACCAAACATTGAAAGTCATAAACACAAGCATCAATAGGTATGAGATTGTAAGTTGAATGATATGAAGAAGAGTTTGTAATGCATGCATTCGACTGAACATACTCATAGGTTGTTTCGTTATCACTTCACCCACCATGGTTACAACCTGATCATCCCTAACAACATTTTTGTTACCAGCAGGGATTTCCACAGCTCGGTACTGAACATTATTGTTGTAGCTTTTCCAAAACAAATATTCACGAAAGTATTTCAGACCTTCATACAGTGCAGATAGGATAACAATACCCAGGCAAGAGGCGAACAGAGTAGTAGGGCTGGTGGTTTGCCAGCAGTCGAACAAAATTTTTTCCTGATATCCAAAGTGGAATGTCATACTGTGACCACCCATGGAAAAGTGAGCACTATGATCATTAATGGCAGCATCGGCCATTGGGGTATCCGCATGAACGTGATGTCCTGAGTGATCCTCCATATGGTCGGAGTGACTATGGTGGCTGTGGTCCATGGCTCTAGAATTTTAAGAAGACATAAATTAATTACTTGAACACATCCAAATAAAGAAAGGGCTTCAACTGGATTCACAATAAATGATTATTTGATAAACTGAAACAATTCTTCACAAATATATCATCATAGTAATTGGGGGTTGCAATAAAAAGTTTAGATGATAAAGAAATTATATCTGACGACCAGACATTAAAGGGGCTATAACACTTTAATGTTTAAAATAAGAACGTTTGGTTGGATAAAATTCATGTCCTTTTTCGTACAAAATTGAGGTTAGACTTGGAAGCAAGTTGCTTTCACAAGTCCGTGAGAAAATTTCTGCCCTGGGTACGGGAAACCATATCCAGAGGAGATATAGTAGAAACAATTACCTGTAGTGAAAAGAGACTGTTCAATGCCGTTGAATGTGACAGTGAAATGAATAGGAACGGGGTCGGGGCTGAAACATATGCTGGCGAGGCTGAAGGTTGGGGTGGGTTCAGGTTTAGGCAGGATAGCAGAGGAGCAGAGGAGAAGGGGAGGGGAGGGGAAGGGAAGGGAAGAGAGGACGTGAGGGAAAAGGGAGAGAGGGGAGGGGGCATTAAGGTCAAACAGCGGGATGTCCAAAATCCAGACTGTGATGGTGATAGACAATCTTTTATTGGAAAACAAACATTGACAAGATCTAAAACTGAAATAAACAAACAATTACAAATCCAACAACCAACACTAAATTATTATTATAACAAAATCTATGAAGGAACACAAATGTAATTAGTATCACAGTTTAATTACAACTTAAGGAATAATCATGAGTTGGTTACAAGTTTCCGACTTCAGAGGGGCCCCTTAGACGCCGCATGAGATGGCAATCCTGTACCCGTAGAGTCACTCGTTTAGCGTGCAGAGTGCAGAGAAGTGAATCTTCAAAAAATTGAACCATGTACATTTCAGCAGCTTCCTGCAGAGCTTCTAAAGCTTGAGGCTGGATCCTAAATCAAAAAATAATTTTTCAAAATTAGTTGATTAGTTACAGTTGAACAGCCAAAAGAAATGTTTAGAATAGTCATCATACCTGAGACCTTGACAAGAAAACTGATTGATGATTTCACGTACAAGTCTGGAAAAACTTGCTTTTGGTATAAGAAGACGGGTAGACCTCTGCAATGATCTTATCTCCCTTAAAGCTTTAGTGCCATTCTTGAAACGACGAGTTCTACAAGATACATCATTTGCTGTCTTTCTTGTAGGAGTGCTATGATTTTTCTTCTTAACTGACGATGAAAAATCTTTGTCTTGATTACTAGCTTCATTTTTGCCAGGAAAAGGCAACTGCCTCTTCTGTAAGAGACATAATAGGTAATAACAGGGGAAATCCTAAACTGGGGATATGAGAAGCAAAACATACCATTGCGCCGGGCATTTTGGAAGTGGACGACCCAAGTCAAAGTTGAAGCAAAACTGGGAGGCACTGTACCATCACGAAGCACGTGTTCACAAAATGGGAATAAGGGAAAATGGGGTATATATTTGTTTTGATCCCCCTTCCCTGCCCTTCCCTTCCCTTCGTTTCCTCCTTCCCCACCCCCCCTTCTCTGCACTGGTGCCAATATGACGAAAATTTATCGGCAATAACAAATAATTCAAAGATTTGACTGAACGTTGAAAAATTGTCCGTTTGAAATAAAATAAAATAAAATAAAATAAAATAAAATAAAATAGCGTTTTTTTCAGCTTTTTGTGTGCAAGGTTGTGACAGTGCAAGTTTTGTTCGAACTTGAACGGACGGAACGGCACGACGGAACAGGTGTACCATCTTAAGTACTGTCAACACCTCAGCCTTAGCTCGATTAGAACAAATATTTTGAAAGACAATTGTAGTGTCTGAATTCAGGAATACCTGATAACTCTTAATTAAATGCTAGTTTAGTTCACCAATCATACGACAAGGTAAGGCACAGATATTTTGGTTTGTTAGACACGTATGATGCGGGAAACACCTACTTTTTGAGGTTAGGGGCCGGTACTACTGTGAGTGTGGGGAGAAGAGAAAGTTTCTATTGCCAAATGGCCTGTCTTCCTGTATGATTTTAGCCTAGTCGAACGAATTAAATATGTTCTATTAACTTTACAGGCTTCATGTTTCTGCCAGGAACATGCCAACTACAATTTAGACTGCAACACAACTTGTGAGAAGACAATACCTTCTTAAACGAACAACATGGACCAACAGCTCATGAAGGACAAAAAAGAACAGCAAATTAAAGATTTACGTCATGGCTTGAAGAATTTGAACATGACATTAATTGTGTTAGAAGTAGGGCCTCCAACAACAACCAAAGAAAACAGAGAAGTTCGTTCGTGCAAAGTAGCAGACCCAACTGGATGTGTAAACATATCTGTTTGGGATGAGCCAGGGCAGTATGTTCAGCCTGGAGACATTATCAGGCTCACTAAAGGTTATGCATCAATGTGGCGGTCCTGTTTGACTTTGTACTGCAGTAAAGCTGGTGACATACAAAAAATTGGAGAGTACTGTATGTTATTTAGTGAACAGCCAAACATGAGTGAACCAAATCCAACGCTAGCAGCTCAAATAGCTGCTCAAAATCAAAATTTGAACAAAAATTCGGGGTCTGGAGTAAATAATGGTGTAAATAACTCAAATAATGGCCCTCCTTTAGGCAGAAATTCGGGTGGCGCATCAACATCTGCACACGCACCAGCGACAACAACTCAAAATTCGTCTCAACCATCTAAATCTGGGGCTCGATTTACAGCAAGCTCAACTGAATCAAGTGGAAGAAAATCACCTGTGAAAGGAAACGCTCGAGGACGAGGAGGACCGAGGCCAAGGGGAGGAGGTGATAAGAGATGAATTAATTAATTTAATCAGTATTGTAGACTCAGTTTGTTTTTGTTACATAATTTTTGTAAAATGTATGTGTTTTTCTTTTACTGGGCGGAGTGGTCAACACTGCCATGTGTAATTCTACCTTTATAAAAGTGATTCTGTCTCTCAATAAATCAGAGTTTTTATAAAAGGAGGAAGAAAAACTTCCACTGCTGACTCTTGGCTGACGAATAGGGTTTGTCCCTTCCTGACATTACTTCATCAAAATTTAATTGTTAAACTGGATCCTAAAAAATAAAAATATTTGTTTACTTTATGCAATGATTGAACTTTATTGTTTGTGCTGGCCAAGTAGCGAGATACAACATTTGGAGCACATCGCGCTTCGCGTGCCACCACAGAAAAGCACCACACGGCGGACCAGCAACCATCAACCTCACGGTCTTTAAAAGGAAAAAGAAAAAAATGTTTCTACATGCTTCGGGTGATCTCGCAAATCCAGTGACTGTTCCGAAATGCCACGCATTCCTGGCACCTTTGCGTTCTTGTTCAACCACCGAGTCATTTCAAAACGCGCCCGGAAACGCGGGTCATCGATTACTCGAGTCCTCCGCCATTTTGAAGAAAACATTCGACGGCGAACCTGTTTTGCTTTGGCTAGCTTTTGGCGTCGGGTCTCGTTCAGCGTCCCTTTTCAAGTTTGCTACTTTTTGCCGTAATTGCTCCCAAATTCTGCTATCTATGCCTCGAGCTCGGGTGATTTTATTTTGAGGCAATTTCTTATTTTGGACTATGGTCGAAAACCACTAAATAAGTTGGTAAGTTCAAACAACAGAGACTAGGCGACTTAGTAGACATAGCCTAAATATTATTCTCGGCTTGTTTTCATTCAACAACCTTATTTGTTTTGATTCAATTTTGTTCTTATTTGATAGTGGAATATCCCCTCTAAATTCTTGAAGTAAGTGGGTTTCGATCATTGCTTTGTCTTCTGGGAATCCTAAATCCTAAATTGTATCCATCGGATCTTCAGTGGAAATTTAACAAAGTTTTCTGTCTTATCAAGTTGTATAATTTATTGGACTAAGTTGGTATTGTTGGAAACCATACATGTGTTGCATTGATCACAATTATGTAATTTCAGGTGACTTAAAATGGATGCTCAACTCACAGAAGATGGACCCTCCTCTGAGGTGGACCGAAGTCGAGATGAAGAATTTGATCCTCCAGTTGATATGATGGTTAATGACTTCGATGATGAGAGGACCTTGGATGAGGAGGAAGCCTTGGAACAGGCTGCTGACACTCAGAATGAAGTGTCAGAGCTGCAACGAGAGAGTGAGATGCCCATCGAGGAATTAATGAAAATGTATGGATACGGTGACAATGGGAAAAGACCTGATTCTGTTGAAGAAGAGGAGGAAGACTTTGAAGAGGATGAGGATGATGAATCTCCGGAGGATTCTGAACTTAATCAACTTTACAGTGAAATACCAGCGGAGGTTGAAGCTCCTCAACGAAGTAAGTACTCTGCAGCAGCATTTCCCACTGACTTCTTTAGCCTGTACTCTAATGTATGCTGTATTCTAACTACATTGTGTTTGCTTCAGATGAGGAAGGTGAAAAACCTGGAACTACAGCAAGATTACTAAGATATCCTAGGCTACAAGACAAAGATGGGGATGATCATGATTACCAGCCGGAGGAAGATGAATGGAGGAAGACCATCATGATTGGCTCAGATTATCAAGCACTTATTCCAGAAGGCCTGTGCCGCTATGATGATGCCCTTCCTTATGAAAATGAGGATAAGATTTTATGGGAGCCTAATGCTTTATCAGAAGATGCAGTTGTGACCTTTCTGAAAAAGGTACCGGGAGTGGGTGGTGGTTCAAACAGCCAAATAACCCGTGATGATGAACAGGCCCTCTTCCTCCTCCTCCAGTGTGGTTTTAATGTTGAGGAAGCCTTAAGAAGACGCCAAATGAATGTTGTTGCTGCCACTGATACTATGAGCCTTTGGTCCGATGAAGAGTGCCGCAACTTTGAAAATGGTCTACGCACTTATGGAAAAGACTTTCATATGATCCAACAGAACAAAGTGCGCACTCGTTCGGTTGGAGAGTTAGTCCAATTTTACTATCTATGGAAGAAGACTGAGCGTCATGATGTCTTTGCTAATGAGGTGCGTAATGAAAAAAAAAAACATACAGGGCTCCCTTTAGCCCTTTGGTCAGTGCTTGAAATGGAATTGTAGCATGACCTTGCGGCCTGTGGTGGCTGTGAGCATTGCCGTAGAATACACACGGTCTTCGAAGATGTTCCAGAACCACAGCGCCGCTCCTTACTACGCTCTCTTCGCAAGGAGCGTAATCAAGTGGGTCCTAGTACCTCTCTGGAGTGAACCATAATTGACTCAGGTCATCATTTCACTCAGGCTAACACCTGAAGACAGTCTCATCAATTCTTTCTTCCTTTCTATATTTCTCCATCTTTTTCTGTTAAATGTGTTCTCTGTGGATATGTTGGTGCAGGAATCATCATCATTTTCCCATGGACAACCCAGGACATGCGGACACTTATGGATGAAACATTAAGGATTTCCATTTGTATTGTTGTTATCATCTACTTCCCTGTGCCTCAACTGTCTTGCTCTGTGGATAACATGACAATGGATTGATGCAGATTGTATGGGTAAATTGACATTGAATTTTGCCTAATTTGGCGTTTATAGTGTAACTCTCTTCCTGTGACAGTTAACACTCAATCTGAAGGTTAATTATTTTTTTTTCATACCTGATTCTCATACCTATAACTTTGTATAGGTGAGCAGAGAAGCCCTGTGATAGTAATAAGAATTTGTATGTAATACAGTCGTTATCGTTTCATTTTCCTCTTCATGTAGTGCATTTTAATTCACTAGATTTCCTAGCTATGTTTTAGTCAAGATTCTACCTTAGTTTGAAAGCTAGAGTGCCATTTTTGCACTCATTTATTATGCTTTCAGGTTATCCTTGTGCTTGTATTTTGCTATGTTAAAATTGAGCACTGTTCTCTTATTTTTCAGTGTGTAACTAATGAATGCAATATAAACCTAGGTATGTCTCACCTTCATTTCTTAATTTTATTCCACTTTTGCTTATCCTCAGAGCATTCGTGGTTTCAATTTGCTGAAGAAAGCTCTCAACAATTGCTTGTCTTATCATTTTGAAAGAGAATCTTAAGTTTACATTAATTTGTGCAGTAAACTCTGTATGTTAAGAGTTGTTACAACCCTTTGAAGTTTTTATGTTTTTTAATAAATTCCTGTTATTTGAAGGTCATTGTTAGAGTAAATCACTGTGATATGGCGATCTTAAAAGGAAGCATAGTAAATGCAGAGTAATTAATCTATCTACCTGCAATTCTTTTTTTGTCTACTACTAACTTTGCCCTTTTGATTGGGGCTTACATTTGACATTTGACATTAAATTCAAGTGACAATCATGCATATGTCAATAATCCAAATACAATGATAAATTTGTAATACCTTCTAGCTGAATTGTGACTCTAGCTGTCATCTTGTTGTCAAGTGTCCTTAAAATATGTCACATCATTTACAAGGTATGAACCTGTTCATGTATCACAGTGCATATACAGGAGAATTATTTATCAACTATGTATGTAGGTGTTACCAATGTTAATTGTTGTTTTCCTAATTAAATTAGTAGCATGTGTTAAAATTTGAAACCGGTTTCCTGGTTTCCCTGTATTTTTGTGCATCAGTATTGTTAAATGTTTCAAACATCATCCTGACGTGTATACAGCTACTGTACAAGAAGATCTTATTTTGAATATGCAATATGTGCCTCATTATTCTGAAGTGACATTTTTGCCACCATTTTTGAACAAAATGTCAATGTTTACTGTATAGAGAAATTTTTTCTCAATTCCCTATCATGCTTTAATTTATTAATTTTTCAAATGTGGTGCTCAATGCTGAAGCCCACGGTCAATCCCGTATTTTCAGTTTAAAAGTTGGCTGTATGCAGTTTTAATAAGTTTTAGATTTGCAGAGTCTGGTTTAGGGTCCCATCAAGTTATACTGATGCAGTTGGTTGACAATTTACTCACTCTCCCTTTCTTTTTAAAATTGTCATTACCGTACACTGTTAGCAGGTGTTTGTCCGGACTCATTTCAGCACAAAATTCTTACTCTTTGGAGTGTGCATTTTGGTTTAAGTTTACTTTTGAAAGGAAGGGGCTCGTCCAGACTTTTCCTTGTATCCACAATGTTTTATGTTTTAATTTAAGTCAGACACTTGCAACTTAGACCCTTGGTAGGTCCTCTGCCTTCTTCTTTCCCCAAATAAACAAACTTGTTTAAAGCTTGAATGGTCATAAAGTTATCATGTTGGGTCATAAGCCAATTCTTTGAGAAGCTTTTCTTTTTGCTGGTGTGTGTTGTACCTGATTTGCTGTAAAGTTTGTACTGATGTATTCAGTTTAATGATATGTTAGTGACCATAGTTATCTCCATAAATGACTTATTGGCTTATTTTCATGTTCTGACCCCCCTCCCCTCTCTTCCCCTTTCCCTGGTTTTGTCTTTGCTTAGTACTCCAGATAATTGCTCTAAGACTCAGAGCGATGGTTACTTCTCATGAAATTACTGTTTCCATGGCTTCAATCAGGTTTTATGTGCCCTAAATGATTTAGTAGATTTCTCTGATGGTACACTTATGGTTTTGGCCAAGGGAACTACTGACTTCCCAACGTAGTAACTTACTCCAAATACAGTCTTGTATTACTTAATAACTTATCTGTTCAAGTTGACCCAAGTTAACCCTTTCTGTGTTCCATTTTGAACAGTGAAAAATACAAGCAAGAGTCCCTGAAAGATGTTTGTTTGGCTTGAACTGGAATATAGTACTTTTCTGTGTTGTACATACTTTGATTAAGCAATGCTTGTGTAAATCTGGAATTTGATAGAATCCAATGTACAAATCTCAATTAATTCATCTAAGCTGTTCTCATCTGAATATATTTTCACACTCAGTGTCAGAATAAACCTACTTTATGTTATTCATAGGTTGTATTTTTTTCTTGCTGGACATTTTTCACCCAGACACGTGCATGTCACAAATGAAGTCACAAAACAACGGCAGTATTAACACATTTTTAATAAATTCAGAATTTGAGATTGAGTTTTAAACTTGATCATCTTAGAAAAAAACAAAAAATCGCAACAATAAACCCTGTAGAATAGTAATAAAAAAACAGGAAAAATAAACATACAACTATTATAACATCTAATATATATATATATATATAGAATGAATGCATATTCATGTAACATGATAATCAGACTAAGTTGAATAATATTACCTATCAAAATTTAAGTCTCTGTTAAGGCTGGCCATACCTGCGACCTCTCTGCTAATGCACAAAAATTCTGTCTGCTCCTCCTGTAATTTACCACACTTGCTGGTGTACAAAAGAATAACAAAATTCCTGTACATTTCTTTAATAGAGCGCTCGATGAGCTAGAAGACGTTAGCCACAGGTATCCTCAGAACATGGAAGGAATGCTAGAGACCACATGGGAATGTTCAAAGCAAAGTAGTTGGAAGACTCAAAGCAGTAATGAATGGGAAATAAAAACATACACTAGTTCTTAAGGAGCTCACATAAAGTACACGCTAATAAAGGCCTGAAATGTCTTCAGAGTCAGAGGTACAACTAGATGTATTATGCTAAAATTTCATAAGAACTTAATTATGTTAATTGTGTGTTTTGAGGCAACTCGAGTTGTGCTTACAAGCCGCACAGCAATAAAACTGCAGTTCTTTTCAAAGCACAAGAACGTCTACAACAAGGTTCTCTAATTTACAAGAAATACAAGGAGTAAAGCAGTTAGCCTCAAGCAGAACATCACAGCAGTAGTTAGTTGATATAGAAATATTGCTCATAAATCTTCAGCTGAAAATCCTATGCTGGACAGCACAAAAAAGTAGATAAATGATAGAGAATGAAGCAAAAAATCCACTTTGAGTAGACTTCTAACAAGAAGTGGTTCGTACTTCCCTAAAACCTCCTGCTAGATGATGGTAGTACATTCTCTAACAGGACATGGTTCCAGCTACACTGAACGAACTGCCAGATCATGGTATTATATTCTCTAATTTTTCTTTTTCTATGCCAGTACTGCTAACAGTCTCATGGTTCTACATTGGTTATGAATGTATTTGCACATCATAGAACACCCATCCCAAAAAATCACAGATCCCTTAAAAAATAAGACAATATTCTCAATCTAGCACCCTCTGGTGTCATTAGAGGAAGTCAATTCACACAAATCACGCAATAAAAGCTGCTTCAAAATAGACCATAAAGTAGTAGTTTAGCCCACCTAAAGTGGTAATGTAATACTTAAAAGATGATATAAACAATACAGTCACGCAAGCTTGGCACAATACTTTCACAAAAAAATCTATCAACAGTTCAAATGATAAGAACAAAAGCTAAGAAAATGTATGTATAAAAGGTACTATGTGGGTAACCTAAAGAGAAATCATAAATGTCTACGCATAGTAGAAGTCATACTAATTGCATGTCTGAAAGATAAAGTAACACTACAGCAGCACACTGATGTAAGCCTGGATTATGTAACACAGAACTGTCCTTCTAGTAACATTCAAAAATTAGACTAAAAGAAAAGTTGATAAAGTAAACATGAGAAAGCAGTTAAAAACAAGCAAATTCTAGCTTTCCTGAAAATATATATTTGGCCATGGTGGTGCATATGAACATACTGATGAAGTTTATCTCCAATATACCTCCCCTTCAGTACACATTACATGTGCCATCATCCGTTGATATGAACATTTCACTACATCAAACACATTTTGCTGAGCCACACTATGGATGACATTAGCAGCTCAAAACAAGCAAGACTATACACTCCAATACTAACATTGTCTTACAGCAAAAAGCATAAAAAATGAAAACTGTTATGATCATTTTTACAAAAATTACCTCTGAGCTTCCTTTGCACAGACAGTAAATGTAAATAATTAGTTCATAACAATTTGTGTGTGCTGAAAGCTTGGATGAACCAGTTCATGACAGAAAGAATGAGAAAAGGAAGTGAGCCATGTGCTTTGATCAGTCCATCTTAAGCTCCATCATTAAGATAGAGTTAGCAAAAACTTTAACGTATTGCCTGTGACATATGCAGTGGAGTGAGCATAAGTTCAAAGGCGGCTCCTTTCAAATTTGCTCCTCTAAGATTTGCTTCATTTAAATCACTTCCAGATAAATCACAATTCTGAAATCACAGACAGTTTAATAAACTTGATGAATTTATTCTCATAAAATATCAAAATTTACCACAGTTTCAATCCTTACTCACCTCAAGATCAGCCCCAGCAAGAACTGCAGCTCTTAAATCACAGTTTTGCAAATTGGCATTCTTTAAAGTGGCAACCCTGAGGTTTACACCAGCCATATTACTGCCTTCTAGGTTGGCACCTTTAAGGTTCACACCTACAAAAAAATGTTTGAATTCAAGCAACCAGTTTTATTGGCAAATAATAACACAGAGGTATATAAATAACAAAGTTTTACCTTCCATGTTTGCACGGCCCCCAGAGGGATCCTCAAAATTGCACCCACGTAGATTTGCACCTTCCAAATTAGCACATAACATTTTAACACCCACAAGATGGGCACCCTCTAGTTGACAATGTGAAAGATCGGCTCGTTCTAAACAGCACCAGCTTAAGTTTGTGCCCACCAAGCGGCATCCATGTAAACATGCAAACTGTAAAAAAAAATCAAAAAAAAAATCAAATGATTATATAATAAAAATTTGATGAGAAAGAACACATATACAGAAAATATACAGAAAGACTCAATGAGTGTACCTTAAAATTTATGTATCTAAGGTCCAGCCGTGAAAGATCAGATCCAGCCAAATTTACTCCTTGGAATCGTAATTCTGCTGTCACAGGAGTGCAAACAAGAGCATTGATAACATCCCTGCGACTTAAAGGCAACGTGTCTCTTGACCGTTGGTTGGTTGCAATCATAGCTTCAAGTTGGGGTACTAATGACTCCAAGCCAAAAAAACGTGCTTCTTCCAGTACTCCTGAAAAATACAATTGTTTTTGGTTTAGATTTGGCAAGCTAATTTCGATCAAAAGCAATTTACATGAGAAACCCACCTTCAGGGTTAACATAGGTATCAAAAATTAGCCGCCCATTTCTTAGATAATTAAGGATGGGCTCAAAGTAGGTGGGGCTTCGGTCAATCAAATAGGCTCCTTTATGGTCAACATTACTTGGGGTCATCAGATATCCATTTTCACCTTCAGCGAACATCCTAGGATATCACAAGACAAAATTGGAAGTGTTAGTGAAGAAGTCTTGAATGTAAATAGACAAACCATATATAAATTTGAAGGGGGTACCTTGCAAGCATACTAAGAGGCTCCTTTGCTATGAGAGTGCTCCTTGATGTGGTGAAATATTTGCCACCCACATTAAGAGTAACCCAATCCTTTGAGGATGAAGCTGTGCTAGAGGACCCAACTGGAACCACAGCCCCTGCCTTTCTGGCACTTGCAGATGGTTCAACAGGAATAAACCTCTCTCCAGCAGACACATATAATACATCATCATCTCTGAAAATTCAGACAATCGATTATTTAAATGTTTTGTTTGCACTTGACACCAACCCCTCTAAAGGACGAATGTTCAAGAACAAATTACCTTATAAGCTTTAGGTCATCCAACTCCCCACCTTGAGGGGTAAACAAACGCTTGGCGTTCATATTAAACTTTTGACTTGCAGCTGTGAGCAGTTCTTCCAAAGAGTGTGTAACAAGGAATACCTGAAGAAAAAAAAAAGGATCAGATGGGATAGAAATAAATAAAAAACAAACACAATCAATGTCTGCAACAGTACAAAGAAAAAGAGTGTAATAAATATGCAAAAACAGAACAGTGTCAAGTTTTCTTAGAAAGGTCACAGCAGAATTCATGTTTCTGGTAATTCCTTTACTTGTAATATGAGGTAATCTTGAGACAAATTCTAACCTAGATAAGATATAGTGAGCACATAAGTTATTATTGAAAATGCTCCCATCAATGAAATAATGTTTTGACCATGCAATATAATTACTTATTTCTCTTAAGCTTAAAATTAGACAAATAATCATTGAAATATGTGTTACATGAATTACCTTTCCATCCGTATCCGTGCCATTTTTGAACAAAATAACTCGCTTCATAGCTTAAGGGGATGAAAATGTTGCTACAAGGATATACAAATTGAAACAAACTAAGGAGGTTCAGAGCTGAGCTACTTGAAACTCAAATTAAATATAGGTCCTGTTTACAGCCAGCAGCCTGGTGGTTACTGACGAAAAAGCTACTGCTCTGCTCCAATGCGAGGGAAGGGGAAGGGGGGCGGCGGGGAGGGGGAGGGGGACTTTGGCTGGGTTTAACTGCAGGGAGAAAACGTCACTGGTTCCGGGGGTTTCTCCCTGCAGCCAAGGGAAGTGCCAACGCCAATGTTCTCGTTTTCCACCACTAGCTTCAAAGATTTATTCAGCTTTAGATGAGACCAGAGCTTCAATAAATAAAAGCGGAATACGAAGTTATGAAGTTAATTCATGTGACTAGTCAAGTTTGGCTTTCCCCCTCCACTTTTCCATTTCTTTTAAGGCCCTACCTCGAAATTTGTCATACTTTCCGGCTGTCAAAGCAGAAAGTAATTGTTATGTCATTGAAGTGAAGTACGGTTTGTTGAAGTAAGTTTATGCGAATGACTTTGTTGCTATTTTACGTCTGGGGAGAGAGAGCTACTTTCGTATTCCACTGACGTTCGAGGCAGGTTCGTGTATCATTGAGAACTGAGATCCCTTTATTTTGAGCAACTGACGAAATTGTCCTAACCTCCCTTCTCTGTTTACATTCCTGGAGGGAAAGTTAAAGACCTCTCCATTAAGGTTTTGGAACATCCAACAGCTGTTCTATTTACTCATCGGCTAATTAGACCGTTCTGTGTTCTGCACATTTTCATCTCTTTGATTTCAGGCCAAAGGTCACAATGTCCCGCTTGCGTCATTTAGTTTTGACTCGTGGGAAAACTTGGAGTTCAAGAACAACCTCACCTTCATGGCAGTGTTTGAGAGCACACTCCCAACATACCAAAGAAACAATTCAACAACAAATACCTCCACGAGGTAGGAAACGAGGAGCTCTCTTGTTCGTAGGCATCACTGCTGCTGGCTGTGGTGCCTATTACTCAACTCTGAATCCTAGAGAAAAACGTCTTGTTCAGGTGTCAATTGGTGGTATTGGACGCTTCATAAGGTAACCCGACTAAAATCTCACTTCACGGCTTATGTTTGAAAGTTAGATGTCTCATTATCTTTTTATGACAATACTCAGGACATCCAGGATAGGCATTCAGGTCTCTCTTGATTATTGGTGGTCCTTGCTTGGGCTGGAAGATGGGACAATGGAATATGAGTTGGCAATGAGTGCTGCTCATCAGCGTGCAGCAAACAGCATCTTGCATGGCTGTTTGAAAAATGGAGGCTTATACATCAAGGCTGGCCAGGGTCTGGTGTCTCTCAATCATATTCTGCCCCCTGAATACTTGGAGACCTTAAAAGTATGCCAGAAAACAATAGCTTTCTGGAGTCCAATTCATCATTTTATGTTAAGTTAATTATAATCATAAATAATAATTTTAGGTGCTACAAGACCAGTGTCTTAAGAGAAAGAAAAATGAAATTGATGACCTCTTTCAAGAGGAATATGGAGTTAGTCCTGAAGAGGTGTTTGAAACCTTTGAAGCAGAACCAATAGCAGCTGCCAGTCTTGCTCAGGCAAGTAAATCTCTTAAAAATTTTCACAAAGGGACCTCCTCTTTGTCTTTTTCTTTCACAAATTTTCTACTTGTGCCCAGGTTTTTAAAGCTACGACCAAAGATGGCAAAAATGTAGCAGTGAAAGCTCAGTACATTGATCTACAAGATAGATTTTCAGGAGATCTTGCCACAGTTGACCTCCTTCTTGCATTTGCTGCATGGATGCATCCCAAATTTAATTTTCATTGGGTCCTACAGGTCAGTGAATTGCTGATACTTAAAACATTAATCAGAAGCCAACTATGCACATATTTCTCTCTGTCTATAGGAAATTCAAGAAACTTTGGAACAGGAACTGGATTTTATCAATGAGGCCAAAAATGCAGAGAGGTGCGCTCAGGAACTTGGCAAGTTTTCGTATGTGTATGTGCCTAAAGTAGAGTGGGATCTGACTACAAAGGTGAGGCACCTGTTGTCTTTTAGTGTATTAAAATGTCAGTAGTATCACTTTAAAAATATTTTATCAAATTATCTTCTTTTTTTTTTGTTTAGAGGATCCTTGTTACTGAATTTATTGATGGAATCAAAGTCAGTGATGTGAAAGCCTTGAAAGAAAACGGATTTTCATTAGCTGACATTGATCAAAAATTGATATCTGCCTTTGCAGAACAAATATTTCACACAGGTTTCATTCATGCTGACCCGCATCCAGGCAATGGTATGAAATGCGCCTTGATTGGTCACTTTTTAAATCCCCTGTACTAGGTATATACAGAATGTTATTCTTAATTTATATTTTTCAGTTCTTGTTAGGTGGTCTAAAAATAAGAATGCGGAGCTTGTTCTGTTAGATCATGGTTTGTATGAAAAGCTGCCAACAAATGTACGAACAAATCTTTCCCATCTATGGAAAGCAATTGTACTCTGCAACCACAAAGATATGAGGAAGTACTCACATGAGTTAGGTGTCCATGGTAAGAATTGTCTATTTTTTTTCAAACTACATCTGACTTGCTCAGTGTTAATTATTTAATCAAGTTCTTGTGCCATTCTGGTATATATAGGGTTGGTATTTTTCTCTTATGGGTGGTGTCTAAGTCAAAGGGTAATGGGTCAATGATTTCAGAACATTACCGCCTCTTCTGCATGGCGATATGTGGGCGGTTTGTGGAACCAGAAGGGGAGGAAGAATATGAATCATTTAATTTTATTAACCAATTCGAGGGTCACCAGAAAGCTATTCAAGCCTTGTCTAAAATGAGCGAAGATGAGAAGCAGAAGATATTGAAGAACATGGAGTTGGTTCATGATGCTGCATTGAATACTTTTCATAATTTCCCTCCTCGTCTCATTTTAACCATTAGGTATTTAAAAAAATTATCTGACTGTATTTAAATGCATGTTTTGAGTAAAAGTTTGTCTGCCTTTGCTTGTGCACATATAGTGGGTTCTAAAGTGCTCAAGTAGAGATATTACTAATTTTTGTTTGCGCTCATTCATAATCACCTAACATACCGTAGAAGCACTAGTATTGTTCAATACTTTAATTTGCACAAGTACAACACTGTTTTTCTATCATTGCCACTCCACACCAATGAGTTAGGAACTGGTTTTATAGTTCTAACCAACCCTATGTTTCCAAAATGGTAAAAGAACTTCTTGACTTAAAAAATGACCTTACTTGTGCAAATGTTTCACAGACCATGAAATGTTTGCTGAGATTCTCACACAAAGACCTCTGAAATTGCACAAATACGCTATTAAGACTAGCTTGAGCTCGGAGGACATGCAGTACATGGCGCGAATGGCACAGGAAAGATTTGACAAAGTTATAGTTGCATTGCGGCAGATGCCATCCACTCTACTGCTTGTGATCAGGTGTGTTACTGAGACAAAATTTTTAACAACTTTCTGTGTGAAAAAAATCTGCATGGTATGCACCCCATGGTATATTACATTACATTAGAACAATCTGAAGAACATGCATAGGCCAAATGTAGTTACTTAAAAAAAAAAAAAAAAATTGTAAATATTTATCTGAAAATTTGAGACAATGTATAAATCCACATTTATATGTTCTTGTCTTCTGCAGCACACATTTACATAACAGTTGTTTTTGTTTTCAATTTCCAGGAATATTAATACCATCCGAGCTATCACCAAAGACCATGGTGATCCTGTAGACCGGTACACCTTAATGGCAAGAAGTGCCACTAAAGGTGCATTTGCTGGCCAAGGTTTCATTGGAAGTGTCAGGGCTCTGAAAGACCGGACATACTTTGAAATACGCTTATGGTAAGAAATAAAAACATAAAATCTTACCAAAAACCAAATACTGTACCAAAAACTATTTTACCATAATTAATATTTCTCATGCTCCTGTAGGTCTGATTGGTTCAAATACCGTTTACTTCATCTGTATCTGCGTGTTTTACAAGGATTTGGCAAAGGCAATTTTGCCACAGTACAAAAGTTCGTCCATTAGACCTCTTCATTGTATTTTGTCAGATAACAGAAAATACTATTTTTATTTTATTTTTATTATCAAAGAAGCAAGAAATCATGACCTCTATGTAGATTTGTTCAATTAAAACACGAATAAGTCACATTTATTATTTTTAAACAAATTGTGTAAAGACTTTCCAAGTCTGTTTGAAATATTGTGATTGCCCTAGTATTAACGATATATTTTTGTATTTATTCGTTTTTATGGCAAAAGAGTCCACAGTCTGAGTAGTTTTAAGCTTGCTCATTCACATACAACCACATCACTGTTTCCCATGGGTTTCTTCCCTTGCTTTGAGATAGTATTTACACTGCTCAAATGGTCATGGAGCACCACTTCTGTCTTAAGCGCTCAAGTACTACATTTGTTACAATGGAACATGGTATTGCATTGCATAATACAATGTTGTTGTTTTTGTTAAGTTTCTTCTCTGCCTTTGTTTTTAAAATGAATTTATTTTGGATTACAATAAAAGATGCGATTTAATCATTGAGAACATTCTGCTTTCCTCATTTCGTTTTGTAAGAGACGAATGGCATTTTGATTGAACCCGGTTCGTTGAGTCCTACCAGCCGCTCGCCCGGCCTCCTCCCGGGCACTTCCCTTGGCCTTACCGGGCCTGGCCGCCTACGGCCGCGGGTCTGGCGCCCGTCAAGTCAGAGGTAGGCCGGCCCGCCGAACACGCGTGCCTCGCGTTCGCTGTCTGTTGGCGGGCGCTACATCCTACAGCCACGTACGTCGTACGTCCAGCCAAAAGAGTGACGGGTGGTTCTCGTTCTCGAGGCAGCCAGAGAGACCAGAAGAAAGACATGCTCCGCGCGTCGCTACGCTCGCTTCGGCGTCGCCAGCCCGGAGCGCGTGGCGCCCCCTGCCGCGCGGCGCCTCAACCCGCAACCAGCCTGGCTGCGCGCTGCGCGGCGCCCCGACCGGAGCCCCAGCCCCCGTGCCGTGCTGCCGTGCCAGTGCGGCTGGTTCCGCAGTCCGCGCCGACGCAGCCGCTCAGCAGGACGAGCCAGCCCGGCGCACGCCCGACCCGACCCGACCGCCGCGACTCGCTCACCGCGCCGACGTTGCGACGTAGCGACGGGCCGCCACCCCCCGCGGGGCTGCGCTGCGCCGCGATCTCCACCACGACGCCGGCTGCACGCCCGGCGAGGCACGCTCCTCCAGGACCGCCGTAGGCACCGTCGCACTCGGGACAGCCACCGGGTGAGTGGAGGACGAAGGACGACGGCCTGGACAGCGGTGACAGACAGACCGGGACAGCCAGGCTCCATCCGGATGGACTCGGAATCGAGTGATGATCTCAGCGGAGTCACTGCATGTGTCATCGGCAACTGGCCCGCCAGTCTCAGCAAGCTAGGATAGTCGTTGTCATTGGCTTGTGCCCCAACCGTGCCGCTTTGCGGGTGTTGTCTTGTAGCGCCGACTGCCTCGCAGCTGCTCACAGGTCACCGACGCGTCGGCCTGGTCTTCCCCGTCCCGCCCCCGCCGGGCCGGCTTGCCTCCCTCGCCCTGTTTCGAACCGCGATACCGCAGACACTCAGACTCCGAGGACATCATCGCCGGCCTGGTGTGGCGTTGCCGAGGCGTTGCTGCAGCATGTCTGGGGCTGGCGGGCTGGCGTGAGGCCAGCGAGGGGCACGGCGGCAGCGGCACGGGGGCGGGGAGACCCGTGACGGCGGGGGCGAGGCGTAGCGAGGCGAGGGTGCAGAGGCCAGATAATGCACTTGTCTGTAGCCACCCCTCCCCTCCCCTGCCCTGCCACACAATGCCGCGGTCCAGGCGTCCAGCCCACTGCTGCCTTTGAAAGCAGGCACTGCACCGCACTGGGACTGGCCCCGGCATTGCCCCGGCGTCATGATGGTCACCGCCTCATTTCCTCACAGCTCCGGCCGGCGTCCTGGGTTCGAATACTGCCGGAATTTCTTCTTCTCTCCCCTTTTTCATTTTTTTAAAACCTAGTTTTGGGAGTAAGTCCGGTTCCCGCGTCGCGGACGAGCACCCCGTCGGCCGGCCCCACGCGTCCTCGCCGCGCCCTCGCCGCGCCCCTCCATCGCCAGGCCTGGCGTCCCAGGGTGTCCCAGGGCACCAGGGCGTCCCCGAGGCGTAGTTAGTTATGGCTCTCCAGATAAAGCGGCGACCCAGAGCACCCATCCGCGCCGCGCCCCGCCCCGCCACGCCCCGCCACGCCCTCGTCGACCGGTCCTCAGCCTGAGTCGGCAGAGTAGTTTGGTTCGATTCATCGCCGCCCCTAATGCTGTTAACTGAATCGCTCCTTGGGCCGCCGGCTGGCCGGCTGGCCGCTCCACGGCCTTCGCTCTCGCCTTGCCCGTCTTGCCGCCGGCGAGGCCTCCCCCAGACGGCCATTCAACGGTGGACGGACCAGTCACGCCAAAACATAACTTTCCAAAAAATGGAAACCATTTAGACCCCTTCTTTGCAGTGTATATTAATCAGCACCGGACCGCCTCCTCCCCATCCACTCCGGTGCGAGGGATGAAAACCGGTTGACGTCGAATCGACGTCAATATCGGTTTTGGGTCGATCGCCTCCCCATACGGGCTTACCGGCTTACCGGTTGCGGCGGATATAATGGGGGCCATCGGGAATGGTCGGTGCCTCTCGCCGCTCTCGCCCGTCGGCGGGGCCTGGCGGGGCTTGGCGTCGAGGGGGTCTCTCGCGTGCGGAGCGCTGACGGGTCACTTATTTTGCCTCGCACATTCACGAGTGAGTGTGTGTGTGTGTGCGCGCGCGCTTTGCCCGTGTACACCGGCCAGAGTTCCTGGAGTACTGATTAGTGTCGAAGCGGCGTTGGTGCGCACCATCCGCGGTGCCGTCTCGGCAGGTCTCGGGGAGGACGTCGAGGACGTGGAGGACGCGGACGAGACTGGTAGACTAGTTTAGCAGTTGCCGCGCGCTTCCACCGAGCTCTTAAACTTTTCAACATCCGGGAGGAGGAGGCGGAGGGCACATTAGTGGCTCATGATCCAGTCCTCCAGCGCCACACGCATGGAGATCTACATCCAGATTGGGCGTGACGGCGGAGGAAAAGAGGGAGGGGTTGGAAAGGGGAAGGGGGGGGGGAGATGAAGCACTGGCGCTGCGATACCCACGACTCGAACAAAGGGCAGCCTGCGGAGCCTGCTCACCCTGCTCGCCCGGTCTCGCGGAGGGAATGCCAGCACCGCCAGCACGCTGTAAGCTGGAATTGGGTACCGTCCGTACCGTCCGCACTGTCCGTGCCCGCGCCCAGTGGCTGTGGCGGTGGCTGTGGCGGTGGCGGGGCGAAGAGACCTCGCCGGGTGTCTCGACCGCCTCGACCGTCTCCCCGGCGCGCTGGCTCAGCCGGAGTGAGGCCCCCCCCCCCCCAAGGTGCCTCCAGGTATTCATTTCCGGCACATTATTTCGCACAGGTGGAATGTAGGATCCCCCGCCGCCGCCACCAGTGCCGCTGTCTTGCCGCCTTGCTGCCACGGTGGAGTGTCACGCCCATAATTTATTTATTCTCTGTATTTGCCTGGCAGCGTGGCGCGGCCTGGTGGCGCTAATCCCAAACAGGACACGCTTTCGAGCGCGCGGGCCGAGGCGGGCCGAGCCGGGCCGCATCCACGGCCGCGTCCCATTCAGCACGGCAGCACGCGGCGGCCGAGACGACCGAGGCGCCGCCGCCGCTCTCCAGACAGCACTTACTCTTATTCAAATCATTTTTTTTCGAGTGGCCTAAAAGACGTGACATTCAGAGGATTTCCCTGGTCGGCCCCTCCCCCTCACTTGCATCTCCACCTTATCTCCCTCGCCACAGCGTCGCGGCCCGGCGCGCCACGGACCGCCCCTCCCACTCGACGCCCCCTCCCCCTCCCCCTTGGCAGCCTTGCAGTGTGCAGCAGTCGGGAGCACGGTCTGTCCCCGCGCCTTTTTTTCGTCATTTGCTGCAAGCAAAGACCGCCCTGTCCTTGCAAAGGAATATAAATTAATTGGAGTCGACAGACTGACAGGCACAAAGCCAGCCCTGGCGGCCCTGCTGCCCTTCATGTTTGCCCGGGCGAAGAAGTACGCGCGCGCGGAGTAGCGGTGCCCTTTGCCGTTTTCTTGATAAGGCGGTAAAAAAAAACATCACGGCCGACGGCGGTTTTTCGGAGGTCGCGGCAAGGCGGCGTCCCTGCCGATGCATCCGGCCGCCGCCGCCGCTCCGTAAATGCTCTCTCCAAACATGTCACGAGTCGCGGAGCGCGCCCCCCTCCCCCTCCCTCCGGGCGCGGCGCCATCTCTAGTAAAACTGAGTGCCCGCCAACGCGCCTGCCGACGCGGGGACGCGGGTTTTCCCCCACTGTGCATTTCGCTGAGAGCCATCCGTGCGAAGAAGCCATGCTGTGTGAAAAACCGTGAAAAACGCTGTTGGCGCGGGGCGCGCGGGGCGGAGAGAGATAGAGCACAAAAAGCGTGAGCGCGGGCCGGGTGGGACTCTTTAGCCGGGCCTGTACGAGTGTACGCCCGGCAGTGCTTTTCAAATGAGTAATGCAGACGAAGGAATCCATTCAGAGAATTCGCGGGAGGGCCGGCGTGGCGGGGCTGCGGGGCCGAGTGCGGGGCGGGCCGCATTGCAGAGGCAAGCGCGAAACCGGTCTGCAGCGCGGCGCAGCGCAGCGCCAGAGATGCACTTACACAACTTTGCGAGCTTACGGCACACACCGTGGCGGTCTTGGTCTTTGTTAGGGAAATTTAATCGCCCGGACGAGCAGGCGGAGCGAGCAGAGCTAGCTGCATGCCGCGACAATTATCTGGGACGCACACCCGGGGAAAGTCTCGATCCTTACTTGATTCCGCTCGATTCTTGCGATTGGGGAAACAATGTTTATGGACTCAAGATATTTCCATATTCTTTTTTTTTTTTAAGAGGAAGGCGGTGAGACCGGGGGCGCTTCCCGGGCTCGCAGAAAATATTTGTTGGTTCAGGAAAAACGGCATGAAAAGAGGGGACTCTGGCGTGCGTGCTGGGGCCGAGGGCCGAGAGCGTCACGAAGGCCGTCCCGGCGTCGAGGCGAGGCGACAGTCCGCACGCGCCGTGCTCAATGCCGGAGCAGCGCCAAATGCGGAGCAATGCGGAGCAATGCGGAGCCCGCGTCTGAAAAGCACTGCCAGTGGACTCATTCATCGCGCTGTCTCTCTCGCACCGCCGCGGAACGGGCCGTGAGTGCGAGCGAGACAGCGCGAAGAACGCTTCAGCGGCCCGTCATCGCGGAGGAGCGCCCTCAGGCACGCCGTCGTCGGGTTGGCCGGGGCTGGCGGTCCGTCCGGGGCTCGGGCCTTCGGGCCGCAGTTGCGGGTGAAGTAAGCTGAAAAGGATTAGCCTTGTACTACCCCGTGGTCGGACACCTAAGCCAGCGGATTTCGAAGCCCCCGCCGCCTGCCCCCTCCCCTGCGGCTTTCGGCGCCCCATCGCCGCTGCTGACCCTCCGGCCTAGCCTCCGCAGCCTCGGCCTGCTTTCGGCCTGCACCGAGGTGAGCCGGCTGGCCGCGCCCTCGCCCCTCGGCCCTCGGCTTAAGACTTGATGAAAGCAGGCGGCCCGACTCCGCTCTCGCTTCAAGCAGGGCTCGCTCTGCCGCTCTGCCGCTCTGCCCGGCGACGCCGCCTGCGGCGCGGCGGGTAGGCAGCCCGCTCCGCACGCACGCCGCCGGATGGCCTAGCCAGTGTATCGCAGGCGCTCGGCCACCTCGTCCTGGAACGCAGAGTTGCCACACGACGTGGGCGGAAATCCCCACGATCGGTCGCGAATGTCTCGGGCGGGAAATCACTTTGCGCACCGAGCGTGGCAAACTCTGACCGCCACAGCACGCCGCCAATCCCCGCGGCGGGAACGGCGTCATCGTCGTCGTCACTGTCACTTAGCCTCCCCCCTCCCCCCGCGCGCGGCGTGACGCCGAGTGGCGCGGACAAATAAATTAACAGTGACACGGGACGGCGCGGACTGAAGGCGGGCGTGGCGGCCGCCCCACCCCACCCCCTCGCCAATTCAATGGCCTAATTTCATTTCGGGATGTGAACACAATCCCGTCCCGGCACGGCGGAGCTGGTGGAGCCAGGCGGGGCCTTATAACTCATTCAAGCGGGGAAGACGCGCCACGCCGTCTAGCGTAAAGGGCGGGGCGGGGCGGGGAGGGGAGGGGAGGGGAGGGCCGGGATTGGAGCGGTAGGCCGGGCCACTGGG